CCCGGGAAGGCCGCGGCCGCGGCGGCCCAGCGCGCCTCGTCGCCGGGCGTGCCGTCGGCCGCGTCGCGCACCGCCTCGCAGCAGATGCTGCAATCGCGCGTCGTGTGGCGGAACGTCGGCGGCGAGCCCCCGCCGCCGCCGCCCGGGTTCGAGGACGATGGCGTCGCGCACAGGCTCTCGCGCGGCGTCGAGGGGCTGACGAGGAAGCCGGCGAATAGTGGTGCCCGCAGCGTGCTGGCGCCGTCGGCCGAGTCGAAGGGGAGGAGGCGGGGCGCCATGTCGGCGTCGCCGATGCTCGTGGTGAAGAGGTGGCGCATGCGCCCCTGCCGGACGAGCTCGGCGTGGAGCCTGGCCGCGAGCGCGAGGGCCTCGGGCGTGGGCCGGGGCGCCAGGGCCTCGAGCGAGGCGCGGAGCTTGAAGGCTCGCTCGAAGCGGAACACGTGCATCGTGAGCTCGTGGCCGCCGAGGTCCGCGAGGCGCGAGGCGATGAGGGCGCCGAGGGGTTCGCGAGGAGGGTTCGGCCCGCTCGGTTGGGGCTGCTGCTGGCTGAGCGGCCTCGAGCACGTGGGCATCGGGCACCGCAGCCAGTCCAGCCTCCCGTCCGCCGGCCGCTCGGGGCCGAGGTCGTGCCACCAGTCGGTGGCGGCGCCAACGACGAGCCCGGCGACGTAGCACTTCCTGCAGACGGCCTTTGCGCAGCACGTCGTGACCCCGGTGGCCGAGAAGAGCTCGTTGAGCTCACACGCCGTCTGCCTCCCGTGCTTGGAGGGCGACGGCGAGAACATCCAGGGGTAGGCGGGCGCGTTGAGGAACTTGGGGATGCGGCATATCCTGCAGAGCTTGACCGAGAGCGTCCCCGAAGCCCCGAGCGTTTGTCGCGCGTCGAGGGTCGCTGCATACTCGGCAGCCTGGGTGAGGGTCATGGCCGCGTCCAGGTTGGCGGGCGGCATGCCGAAGACGCCCGTGGTGACTGGGGACATGGGTTCCGATGTTATTGCCGAGGCCGGCGCGGCCGTGTCCCCCTGACGCTGGACGTACTTGAGCATCAGGATGTTGCGTTGCGTCAGCGCGCCGTCGATGGATTGGAGAAATGAGTTCGTCTCGTTCATCCGACGGCCGACTCTTGCGGCCACCGCGTGCGGCGGCTCATCGCTTCTCCAAGTCTCGTCCGTTGATCCCAAGCTGTTCACGATATCATTTACCAGTGCGTCTCTCCTCTCCAAACTGTTCGCGATATCATGTACCAGTGCATCCTTTTTCTCCAACCTATTATTCTTCTCTCTGAGCTCGGCTTCCAAACTCCTGATCCGCGCCAACAACTCTTCGACATGACCGTTCGTCGTCGAGGTGACAGGCTCGATTCCAGTTTTCGAAAGAATCGTTACCCTATTGGTATCGTCAAAAATATCCCGGCATGTTGTTTCTGGCCCACCAACTTGGGCAGGCACCGCCACCCTGCCCGTCCTATCGACCGCATGGCCTAGCTCGTCTGGGACTGGTGGAAGTGGTTTAAGAGCTTCGGCTGCTGGTTGGGAATATAGCTCGTCAGACTCCCATGGCACCTCAAGTCGATCCGAGGGTTCAGGGCAATCTGTAAAGTGACCACTGATTTGTGACAGAGGAGAATCAACCGGAGTGTCGGCGTTGCTCTCGCCAGATGTCATTGACGGGGTGGGGCTATCTGGATCTCGCTCGTATGGCCGTCTTTCTGTCTGGCCAGGAATGTTGAGTGTCGACGACGCGTTGCGAGACCTGGGTCTGTGAACGGCGTTGGACCTCGTCAGGGATATCCTCCGGGAACCGGCATCGCCCGCGGGAGACTGGCCAGCGACAGCAGGCGGGGTGGGAAGGGGTGGTTGGGTTGCATGCTTGGGGTTGTTGAACGTCTCCGAGACAAAGTGCTTCCAAGTTCGGCCCCAGTGCCAGCTCTTGGCCGCGCCTCTTCGAGCGTCGGCGAATTCGGCATCGGAGCCGGTCTCGACGAGGACTCCCCATCGCTTGTTGTGCACTGTGTCCGAAGTGTATGGTTCCTTGAGAGACATGGTGTCGCCACGAAGGCCATGCTCATTACGGACTGCCAGTGAAAGGGTTGACATTGTGGGTATATAAAACTGTAGTCGGCGCGGCCGAATAGCTTGATAGATCTCGCACTCGAGCTGCTGCGTCGCGTTGCGGTACTAGGCTGGCTGAAAGAGAAAGGAGCCGAAAGCAAGGCGTGTTGTGCAAGGATGGAACTACCCAGTTTATCAAGCTCTAGAGAGGGGTGAGCCAGAGAGCCTCAGCTAGGGATGAAAACAGACTAGTGACACCCCATGGTGGTGGGACAGGGAGTGAGACTGATTTTATTGGTCATGCCAGTCGGAGTCCGACGTAGCTCCTCAGTGATAGCCAACAGGTGCGGGAACAGGTGCTGCAGCAAGGCCGTGATTGGATGTCGACGCCGCAAGTCGCAGTTGCGGCTTGCGCCAGGCCTCCAGACGCTGGGGGGGTGTGCAGCCGTCGGGGCACCAGCTAAGGCAAGGCAGCTCGCACACAGCTGCGCTAGCAAGTGATAACAATACGGAGGAAGGACTTGAGCAGGGAGCAGCACCTGAAACGCAAAAGGAAAAAGTCCTCGGGACTGTCAGGCGACATTCCTTGTGCCACCTGGTGTTTTTACTATTCCTCCCTCATCTCCCACTAGAGATGACGATATGCACTCAAGACGGGGGAGATAATGACGTTTGTAGACATGTGCTTGTGGTGTTCGGGATAGAGTGACATGCGTGGCTTTGCTAGGCAGCACAAGGGGCACGGCGGCCGACGCCAGGAAAGGTTTGTGCGCCCGCTCGGAGCACCCTCCCGAAAAGTCTAGGGATTACCCGACCAGCAAAAAGAGGCCCTGTTAGTAGGGAAGCGGAATCAAGTCCGCACCAAATATGGGGGAGGGGGACGGTTTGTGACATGAAAGACAAGCAGGAGGGCAGCTCGTGTCAGGGAGGTGCATGGTGGCGCCAATGCGTCAAAAGCACCCCAATACCGGGAAGCAGGCCATCAGCCTTCCCAATAGCGCTGGCCAGGGATGTAACTGATCACCCCAGTGGCATCATTCTCGCCTTGCCAAGTATCAGCTCCTCGGTGTCAAGAGACGGGACCGAGAAGAAGTAGAAGAAAAACAAAAAATCTGCCGAGGTGAAACAGGCCAAAAACAATATGGCCACTGTCGGCAATGCCCGCTCAGCCATGGTCGCTAACCTGGCCAAGAGAGTGTGGGGTTTCGAGCTGAGCTAGTGCAGCAGCCAGCAGCCAGCAGCCAGCAGGCCGCTGCCGTTGTGTTTTGTATCACAGGGAGCGCACCTAGCCACCTGCAGGCGCGATCGAACATCAGCGGATTTTGAGGGCAAGCAGGCGGATGTGGTTCAAATAAGAAAGGATGGATGGGATGACAGGCATCCATTTCTGAGGCGGTTCCAGGAGGGCGGTGTTGCAAGACTGATCAGCTGGCGTGGGTTGAGGGGGAAAAACATGCACTGGGCTGAGGCAGAACCCAGAATCAGGGCGAATGGGAAGAAGCCCATTGGGCGCACGGGCCCCAGTTTGTTGCCTTAACGGGAAGGTGGGGAAACATTGATCTACGAACGCGATACTTGGTCGATCCTCCTGAAGCACCAAGCACCTTGCCACTCCTCCAGTCATCCATGCTCCGACTTGGGTCAAGCGCTGTCACCCTGCCAATAATAGCCCCCCACGAACCGGCTCGAAAGCTTCTTCCGCCTCGCGCAGTTCCTCTCAGAACCAGGGTCGCACGGCCCGCCCATAGGGGTGCCGGGCCTGCACGCTCCGTTTGGGTTTTCCCCACCAGTTCCGGGCACGTCGTCGTCGCGGCCGTGCCGACAGTTTGCGTAGGCGACGACGACCCTGTAGCCCTGGTCGGTGACGATCTGGCCCGACCCACCACGGCCCACGAAGCGGTCGGCGCGGCAGCAGTCGTACGCGACAATCTTGGCGAACCGGTCGAAGCTGTCGGCGCAAAACACCCTGATGGCGTGGGGGTTGTCGTTGCAGAGGTAGAGCCCGCTCGTGTTCCAGCACGCGAAGCGCCGACACGTGCGGGCCGGCACGGGGCACCAGCCGTCGCTGTACTCGCTGGTCCACCTGCGCCAGCTGTCGGCGAGCTGCTTCGAGTTGCCCTTGTCGGAAGTGTCGAAGCCGCCGCACGTGCGCTCTGTGACGTGCTGTGTTGGCCATTAATGTTGAGGGACTCGGACTGGCCGACCCCCGCCAAGAGGACCGGCTTGGGCGGCATGGCCTCCATTCATAGCCTGACTTACCTATCTCCGTGGCCTGGGCTGCTGCGAGGACGCCGCGGCCACCGCCAATAATGGCCGTGTAGTTCTCGCCCCCCTTGGAAAAGGCAGTGTCGTATGGTGAGGTTGCAAGAGCGAACGCCACCAAGTATGCTAGGACGAGAAGGTTGAGGACCGTCCTCGCCCAGCCAAAGGTGTGGGCTCTGACCATAGTGATCGTGGCCTAGTTGTTGTGACTTGATTATTCTGCTCCCCTTCACCCCTGCCACCACCAATAGCAGAGTTGGCAGTACCTATTCTTCAACCTACGATGGGGACATTTCGGAGTTGGCTGCCCAGCATTTTAGATTTACAACCCGCAGACCCCTGTCAATGTTTACACGGGTTGTCTTTCTGCTGAAAAATATACTCAAAGCCCGAGCCAGAGAAGAACGGATGACAGCGGGACAAGCGCCACAAATTTGGAGTATGAGGGCGGGCGAGGCTTGTCTTGGCTTGTTGAAATGATCTAAGGGGAGTCAAGGTTCGGGTGGCGCCAGCTGGTGCCGTCAAAGAGCCAGCCTATGACATAGGATTCAACCAGTCAATTCCTCCCGCTCGACCCCTTTTCTTAGCAAACCGCTCCGGGAGGCAGCCTGTGCGACGAAGTGACTCAGGTTCGGCCCTAAGCGGCCTGCGCGGGAACCTGTTTTGACCAAGATCATATACCGCCGTGGGCCGTACACTTCGTTTCTCTCGCAAAAATGAGGAAGCGATAGGCAGATAATCGGAATCTTGCAAAGGAACAAGATACCTAGGGTCAACAGGAAATCTGGCTTGCGGTCATCGCAGATCGTCGTCGGAATGGGGGCTCCCACCAACCACGAACTCAACGCTAAGCGCGAGCAGCACTGCATATCCGTCACCCCAGAAAGAAAATACGTGAGTGCCTTGTCTCGGCCGCATACTTGGCCTGCATGACCATACCTCAGCTCCATGCAGGCAGGCAGTCTGCCGCGTCATTTACCCTTTCCCTCCCGACAACCCTGCCGCCGCCCACCCGGAGGAAGGCCAAACACTAACGCCCTCCCCCACCCGCTTCAACAGTACCGGTATGGCAACACGTGGATCAAGCGGAGCCTCAGGCCGACCGAGTGGCAGAAGCACGGCGGCTTCATGTTCGTGCCCAAGTTCAACACGGAGCGCATAATCAACGAGGGCGCCTGCCTGCGCTTCGTGGCCGAGCACACCGACATACCCGTGCCGCGGCTGCACGCGTGCTTCGAGGACGACGGGGCCGCCTACCTCATCACCGAGTTCGTCGAGGGCATCGCGCTCGGCCAGCTCGAGCCGGCCCAGCAGCGCATCGTGGTGCCCGAGCTGGAGCGCCACATGGCCGCGCTCAAGGTCCTGACGTCGTCCCGCTGGGGCGGGCCCGAGGGGGTGGTCCTGCCCCCCTACCGCGTCATGCGGCGCTCAAAGGGACACCCGTGGCTCATGCGCCGCCGCGGCGACGGCGAGAGCCTCGTCTTCTGCCACAACGACCTCTCGGCCAACAACATCATCGTCGACCCCTACACGCTGCGCATCAAGGCCATCATCGACTGGGAGTACGCCGGCTTCTTCCCGCCCGAGTTCGACAAGCCGTTTTACCTGAGGCCCGGCCCGCCCGTGGCGCTGCAGGGCGAGGTCGACGATGTGCCCGCGCTCGAGGCCGCCATCGACCGCGAGAGGGTCTACGGGAACGGCCACCACTCCTCCGAGTCCACCTCGACCCGCGGGAGCCAGGCCAGCCAGACCGGCTCCCAGCCGTCCTCGGCCCGCTCGAGCCAGGAGTAGGGGAGGGCTGGCGGCGGCCGCTGCTCATGTTTTCTGTTGGGGGTGCGTTGGCGGTGCCAATGACAGAGTCAGTCACTCGCTTGGCCTTGTTTGCTTGGTAGAGATTTATTCTATGGGTTGTGTTTATCAAATTTCATCAGGGCCCCTCGTCATCGAGGGTTGACCCGTGTTCAACGTGGTATCTTGCACCTATGTGATATGACCATTCCCGAGATGCTATGTGATCCTCCTTCCAGAACCCGTTGTCCCCCGCACACCCAATAGTTCTCTGTGTATCCCCTCGGACAGGACCAAAGTACTTGGTGCATTGTGGGCTTTGTCCTAGCCTTGGTTGTTGAAGGGCTCTGAACCGATCTCGTATGCCTGCCGCCTGAGCTGCCCACATCTCCTTCCGGCGTTGGACTAGGTGGGCGCGACGGGTGGCTCGGGCGCCGCCCTGGGTTGGGGTTTCTCAGTAGCAGCACCGGCCTCCTCAATAATGCCACCAATTCGGCTCCGGTCTCTCGCTATCATAGTCCTGAGAGGCCTACGGAGCTGGGTTGGCTTTCACGAGGGCGCCCGCATGCGCCAAGAGGAGCATGTTCCAGATGCTGCTCCCAACACATTGGCTTTGGCTGCTAGACCGGCATCATATGCCGTAGCCGTTGGCGAGACTCTCCGTGACAGTTGAGACCACAGTGTGCAGCGAGCTCGCTATCGACGCCCCGGACGAGACTAGCGACGACGCGCGGCGCGGCCTACAGGCGTCCTCATCGCCCGACGCGAGGGACCTGCTGGCGCTCCTGGCCATGTCGCGCCTCCTCAGCGCCCTCGATATGCGCCTCGACAGCTTGTAGTTCTTGAGCTCGCAGTCCCTCTCGCCGTCGCCGTCGTCGTCCTCGCTCTCGTCGGACGAGGTCGCCTCGAGCTGCGCCTCGATCACGCGCGAGCACTCCATGCAGCGGAACAGCGTTCTCGGGCCGGCTTCTGACTCGCCCTCCTCGGCGGCGCCGTCCAGTCGCTTGCACAGCCCGCCGCAGTTCCAGCATCGCGTGTAGACGGCCGCCGCGGGCTGTGCCGCCGGCCAAAGAGTCCGCCAGATGGTGACTAGTGTGTACTTTTTGCTGACCATGTCATGTTCTGGCCGTCGTGGCGATTCGTCTCCCATGACTACCGTGTCCGCCTCATCTTCTTCGTCTCCTCCTTCTTCTTCCTCGTCCCATACCTCCTCCGCCTCGCCCAGGTTCGCCCACAGCCGGTAGGCCACCTCATCGCACAGGACGGGGACGCGGACCAGGCGCCGGCAGGCGCGCACGCCTTCCGTCTGCTGCATCCGGCCAACGCGGCGCAGCTGGCGCAGCGTCATTTCGCACTGGATCGTGGCTTGATCGAGCACGTACTGGCCCCAGCCGTCGAGGACAAACTGGCGGACAAAGTCCTCGGCCTCCCAGATTCGCTCTAGGCGAGTCGTACCGCCGCCGCTGCTGCTTCTTTGGTCGTCGACATCGCCCGTGGAGCGCGACCGCGCCGCCGGGTGCCCGTCTCCTGCTCGCTTCACGGGGGTTCTGGCGAGCGAGGACTTGGTGCTTGGCTCGGTTGGCTTGTCAATGGAGCTAGGGCGGCCGCTTGGTGCTGTAGGCCTCCGGAAACTGATTCGCAAACCCATCTTGTTGGCGAGGGTATTATATTGCCTGGTGTGAGGATTCAAGTATGTCGTTACGAGGCTGTAGCTGACCTTGGCTTGACGTCGAGTTTGGTAGATAGAAGTGTGGTTTGGCAAGCGAGCGAGAAAAGGCAGGCAGGAAGAAGAGAGAGCTTGTTACTCGAAAGTTCGTGGTTGACCCGTTCCATATCATACTGCGGGAGAGTTTTCTGCAAAGTTCGGATGGGCGTTACTTGTATCAATGTTCTTGTGGAAAGGGGCCTAGCTCTTTCTCCCGATGCCGCCCCGGCAGCGGCCGGCCGAGTCGAGAGCCATGGCGGATGCAGTTCCCGTGTAGAGCGATCTGGCGGAAGAACTGGCCGGGGCCGACTGTCACAACGGCGAACTGCGAGAACTGCTGGCATTGGGTGAACGTGAGGTGGAGAAGTATCAAGAACAGCCTCGCCGCCACTTCAAGATAGACTCTGGAGCAGAGTCCGCTCGGATACTAGAAATGATGGGGGAAAGCTGGCGGGAAAACAAACAACAGGAACCAAAAAAGGCGGAATGAAAAAGGCTACCAGTGAGAAAAGGCGGAGGAAGAGATATGTCGGTCTTCTGCAAGGTGTGAAAGAATTGCTTTTGAGGTGCAGCTGCCACAAAGGCGCCGGCGGTTGCCGGCTGCCGGCTGGCTGCCCTGGACGTAGCCTGACTAGTTCTACGAGATGCCATGTGCCAGCACAGCGGCAAGCACCGCAAGCGTCCGACGCAGGGCCGACGCCGGGTTCATGGAGCATCTAGGTGTAGGCTGATGATGGGACCAAAGGCTGGCTCAGTGTCCTTGGATGGCACAAGGGAGGTGGGTGAACTTCAATCTCTACGAATCCTACCAATAACCATGGTGCGGGACGTGACTTGTTCAACAGTTGGGGAGCGTCAGAACGCCAAGAAAAAGCACAGCAAATAATAAGGCCCATACACTGCTACAATATGTTGCGACATGGCAGGACAGCACTATGCTCTTCTTCGTGGCACCGCACCAGGCGATGATCACAATGAAAAGAGAGGCAGAATCAAAAATTACGCCAGGGTTGGCCCCGAAGGACAAACCAGAACGGTCAGCGCCACGGTGTGCAATGCAGGCCTCCCATTCTCTGGCCGCGCCTTCGTGATCGCGCGACTCAGCCAACAAGGTAAGTATGAAGAAGAAAGGAGAGAAAGGGTTGAAATCAGCGGGGAGGTCTGGGGCTTTTATAGAGCAGCCTGGGTGGGGCTCTGCCATATTTCCAGTATCGAATTCAGCAGGCGGTGTGGGTTCTGCCACAACACATTCTGGCCCGTGCTTGTTCCTGAAGGGCCTGTGCTCTAGTCACAGCGGCGCCCGAGCGATTGAGGGCTGAGGCTAAAGTTGGAGCTGGAGGAGGCGAGAAGGAGCAGGTTGCGTTCGTCACAACGCTGCAGCATCACAACAAGCAACCCATTTTTGATGCCCAAATTGCCAATCAACTTCTCTTCAATGCCACCACTTGACTTGACGTTCCCCGCCCGGGATGGTCTGCAAACAAACGATCATGGGTTCCGCTCTCCCACCTTCCTATCACGGAAGGATAAAGGTTGGGGAAGCAGCTGCCCCAGCCAGTGGGACTGACTGCCGAGAACATCTTGCTCTGGCCATGCAACCACTCCGGCTCTGTACGCCCTAAAAGCGTCGCCACCAATCCAAGTCTGCCGCCGACGATGAAGCCGACGGGAGTGGCGTTGGTTGCAAGGGAGCAGCAATTGACCAATTGGGCGCGCGGAATGTGCCACCCAAGCACCACGACCAAGCACAGCACTCGCTATTAGCCTGTCCAGGCTGGCAACGCACCACAATCCCACCAACAGGATACATACGTGGCCCCGGACAATGTTAGGACCGTTGTTGATGGCAGTTTTACGACCTCGGCTGTTCCATTTTCTCTGGCTTGGTCCGTGTTGCTGACCAAGTCGTGTCGTTGGCGCTCCGTTGAAGGCAAACAACGTGCCTGTGGCAACGTACAACCTCCAGGTACATCGGATGGGGGTAGTCTTGGCCGAGACCTTCCTTCATCCCAAGCACCCTACCAAGGGAAGCCCCGCTCAAGCGACGAGGCCCAAAGCACGGCCAATTCATAATGTTGAAACCCCCTTGCGCCGAACGGCCATGCGCCAGGAATTCCCTTCCCCGCAACGTTCCATTTTGTGTAGGGCGGGTTCTCGGCCTGCTTGCATGGCGCTGTCGGCCAAAGCCCGGCGCCCGTCTAGAGACGCGGGGATCAGCTGCTCGACTGGGCAGGTGCCGTTGGCTTGTCCTCCCCCGCACCACTCTGTATCCCATTCCAGAATAAATCCCATGCAGATTATCAAGGTTCCGTGCCATGCATGCAGGCTACTTCTGGCGGTGCAACCTCGTGACCGGCTGCTGTACCTCCTTCCGCCCCTTATGTATCCTCCACCCGCCCAGTTCTGTGTCGACTCGCAAGCGTCCCACGACGCCGCCGCCCCTTAGCCTCGAGCATGAAGAGGCAGCCAAACAGCCTAGCATGTCGGACCTCGACAGCAAGTCGGATGGCGTCGTCGGCGTCTACGCTGAGAAGAAGGATGAGGCCGGCCGCGACTCCCCGGCCTCGGGCCAGCTGTTCCCGCCGCCCGAGTGGCTGGAACGCCTCAAGGCCGAGTACACGGGCCAGCACGACGGCGAGGCCCTCCCCGCCGGCTGCGACCCGGACCGCATGGCGACCTCAGTCCTGACGCACCCGGCGCCCGAGGCCGTCCAGGTCCTCCGGGACCTCCTCGAGAGCCAGAAGGAGGACTTCACCATCGACCAGAAGATGATGGCGCGCTGCCGCGAGCTCGTCCGGGGGAACGAGGCCTGCGGCATGGAGCTCGGCGAGTGGTCGTACGAGGTGTCCAAGCGCGCCGGCCTCTACCACAACTGGTCCCCCTACGCCGAGGTCAGGGCCGTGACGCTGCCCTACGACGACCCTGAGGAGGCGTGCGAGAGCTTCAGGGCCTACGTGCTGGGGTACTTTTGGGTGTGCGTGTGCACGGCCATCAATACCTGTAGGTTGCTTTCCGTCCTTGCGCAATGGCGCTGGAGTGACTAACACGCTGCGCCACGTGCAGTCTTCGCTCCACGCCAGCCGGGCATCTCGATCCCGGGTTCTGTCGTCCAGTTGATGCTTGTGCCTATGGGGCGCGCAATGGCCTATATACTGCCTGACTGGGGCTTCAAGTGGCGTGGCACACGCTATACACTAAACCCGTACGCGATGTTCTTTACTCCTTATCCGATGCCGCCGCTCTCTAAATTTCGAAACTGACTGGGAGAAACGAGGAAGTGGGCCGTGGACTTCCAAGGAGCAGCTCTTCGCTACTATAATTTTTAGCGGCGCCAGCACCATCGGGAATTTCACAGGCCTCCTTGTCCTTCGGCTTCCCATTTTCTTCAACCAACGCTGGGCCGGGTTTGGCTTCAATATCCTTCTGGCACTCGCGAACCAGGTTTACGGCCTGGGCATGGCTGGGATTCTTCGTCGCCTCAGCGTGTACCCCATTGAAGCCGTGTGGCCGGCGAACTTGCCGACCCTGGCCCTGAACCGCACCCTGATAAACTACGACAACAAGCGGGAGAAGATCAACGGCTGGACTATGACGCGATACAGACTCTTTATATGGTCATCGGTCATATTCCTCATCTACTACTGGATCCCCAACCAGGTATGCCGACTTGCATTCTCGCCTCACTTTATGCTCCAGCCTATCGCGCTGTTCCTGCTTGAAGCTATTCCAAGCCCGTCACACAAGCTAAGCAACGTCATGTGTCAAACAGATCTTCGTCGGCCTTCGGCTATTCAACTGGATGACGTGGATATCTCCAACCAACTTCAACCTCGCTACTGTCACGGGCTCGTACGGCGGCATGGGCTTCAATCCGTTTTCCACCTTCGACCCAAACGTATCCGGGAACCTAGTAACCAGCGCCCCCTTTTTCGCCCAGCTTCAGCAGTACGTGATGCGCGTTATCGCCGGCATTGTTATTCTGATCCTGGTATTTGCACCTACACATCTTTCCCCGTATTCTTGGAGCTGTTGAATCCAGCGCTGATGATCAAGCGCTCAAGTACTACACCAACGCCTTCTGGTCTGCATTCATGCCCATCAACTCCAACGGCGCCTTTGACAACACGCAGCAGCAGTACAACATCTCCAGAGTGCTTGGTAGCAACAACCAGGTCGATCGCGCCAAGTATCTGGAGTACGGCCCTCCGTACTACGCCATCGCCAACCTGGTTGTGACGGGAGGGAACTTTATCTACTACACATTTTCCATCGTCTACGTCTTCATCAAGTTTTGGAAGCCCATCAAGAAGGCGTTTGTCGGCATCATCGTTAACACCATCAAGCGCCGGAGCATCTACACGGGCTTCACCGACGGCCACACTCGCATGATGCACCGGTACAAGGAAGTGCCCGAGTGGTGGTACGGCATAATCTTCGCATTCGGGTTCGCCGTGTCCATAATCAGCCTGACAGCGTTCCCGACGGGGACGCCGTGGTGGTCCATCCTGGGCGTTACGGGAATCGGCGCCGTGCTCACCATCCCCTGGGTCGTCATCGAGTCGATCGCCAACACGGGCATCCAGCTCAATGTTATCTGGCAGGTGCTGCCCGGCATCTGGTTCCCGGGCCAGCCGCTCCCGCAGCTTATTATCTTGATGCTCGGTGCCGCCTTCGAGTCGATGGCCGGCAGCTTCTCCCAAGACCTCAAGTACGCCCACTACGCCAAGATCCCGCCCCGCGCCGTCTTCCGCGGCCACGTGTCGTCCGTCGTCGTCAACTGCTTCATCTACTGCGCCATGATCGAGTTGATGGTGTTTTACTTTAACGAGGACGACACGCTTTGCAGCTGGTCCAACAAGAACGCGATGGCAAGTTTGGCAGCCTTGTTCTCCTATTTCTCGACGAGCCAGCCCCATGTATTGCCCCTGCATCTGTGCTGTGTGTATCACTAACACATATTTCGAACTTCAGGTCTGTGAATATGCAAACTCTGTCTGGTCGTGAGTGGCCTAGCCATCCTTTACTTTGCTCTGGCAACCTTGTTCCTGGTGCCCAAGCTGACCAACCGACAGATCCGTCATCTTCTTCGGCGCCTTTGGCACCAACAACATGTTCAAGCTGTACCCGGTGCTGCCCTGGTGCTTCCTCATCGGCGCGGTCCTGGGCGCCGCCTGGATGGCGGGCGAGAAGCTCCTCCCGCGGCTGCGGCCCCTCGCCGAGGCGCGCATGTCGCCCGCGCGCTTCGCCGCATTCGACCGCTGGGCCTGGCGGCCCACGGCGCGGACGCTCGAGTGCCTCAACCCGGCCATCGCGCTCTCGGGCGCGCTCGCGTGGGCGGGCAACAAGAACCTGACGTACGCGACCCTGGGCATCTACCTGGCCTGGTTCTTCCAGTACTACCTCAAGCGCCGCTACACGGCCTGGTGGGGCAAGTACGTCTACCTCGTCTTCGCGGGCCTGACGGTCGGCGTCGCCGTCTCCGGGCTTATTGTCACTCTTGTCTTTTCCTTCGGCGCCGGCAAGGGCGTCGAATGGTCCTGGTGGGGTAACGACGTGGCGCGCCAGGGCGTCGACTTTCAGCTGTACAACAACAAGGCATCTATGATGCCCCTGCCCGAGAGTGGGTTCTTTGGGCTCGCACCGGACGAGTACCCGACGGCATGGTAAAGAGCGGGAGCAGGGGTTGCGGGTACAGGAGAGGAAGCGAAGGGGGGCGACCGACGCCGCTTACATGGATGTCGGATGCGCAGAAGCTAGGAGAAGGGCGAGCTTCGACGCGCGAGCTACCCAGGGCTCTACATGTAGAGCAAAGACCCCTAGTACCTAATGGTTCTTGGTAGCATGCTTCCTATGTTGCTCTTGGAGCCGCACATACAGTTGACAAGACATCAAGGCAGGTAATGGTCTGGTTTTGGTGCTCGCTTCCAACAACCAACATGGATGGAGTGGTTGCACTTTCTTCCAACACTACCCCGCCCTGAACACGCAGGACGCAGGCTACACCAGACGCCAATGGCCAAGCACCAACAGCCAAGTTAGCCAGACGGGTTGGCGCCAGCCATGCCACACCTCAAGAAGACATGCCAGCATTAAATACGGACGCCCGTCTTCGGGGTAGGTTTGATGCTCTCAATTAAAGGATCTTTCTTTTGCTGTGATGTTCCAGGGCTTGTCGTGACTAGCAACTTTGGGCCTGGTCGCCTTTCTGAAAAGAAGGATTGAATTAACTACCTATCCATCATTGAGGGAGGAAAAATGGCCGAGCATAGCCTTTCCATCAAGGAGCAAGCCCGCTAGGCAAAGGAATGGCTGGAGGATTGCGATCAAGGACACCAAGGGTGCCAGCTCCCGCCGTTTGACAAGGTCGGTAACCATCGTTACCTGCTTCAAAGGCCTATCTCACAGCCCTGCTCCCAGCCCGCATTGCCATCAATTCGCGTTCAAATTTGGGGCTAACCTTGTACCGGCATTCTAGAAATTTGCTGAGAGTGGGCATTCAGGAAGATGTAAGAAGGGGAGTGCCCGGACCCCTGGAGCCTCACGACATTACCACCTCGGCGGACGAGGTTCTCAACAATTATCTCGGCAACTCCTCGCATAACACTAGATGCTAGACCCTTGGCGAGCTTGTGCTTTCGCGAAGGATCGTTGCTTCCACTCCCGGCGGGCACTTCTTCAGTACCCCTCCCAGGCTCCGGTCTGTTTCCCTGCCTCGAGCCCTACCTGGACCTCTCGGAAGAGTATTCCCGGCGCAGGATACGGAATGACGGCGACGCGCTCCGGGCCTTTGGCGCAATAAGCCACCCCCCTTGTGTCAGGCATGAGCGCCTCGCCGATCCAAGGACTGCCGGACGTGTTCCTGGACGCCTGCCTCCTATTTTCATCTGCCAACGGCACGCTCGGGCGGCGCCCGGGGTTCGCAAGCTACTCGTGGGCCGGGTGGGAGGGCGAGATTGCCTGGCCGCGGGAGAAGTTTCTCGAACGCACGTGGCCGTCCGAGTCCAGCAGCAGCAGAAAAAATGCCCGCCGCATCGCAAGGTGGACTCTGTCGGAAACCATTGTCGAGTAGTGGTCTTTGGAGCACCAGCCAAGGAACCCTCGAGCTCGACAGTGACGAGCAAATCAGCCTGGCAGACTACATCAGAGGAAATCCCGGAATCTTCCCCTGGAAGCTCAACGCTACCAAAAGCAAGGGTGAGTTCTGCAGACTTGTTGGCAAATTGTTTGCTGTAGACAAGAGGAGGAATAAGATGGTGGTGTCAGCACGGGCCGGTCGAACCCTTCAAGGTGGGTAGTAGTGTCAACAGTTCGTCTTCGCCCCGCCCCAAGGCCACGAAGGGGAATAGCTGACTGAAGGTGGCATCTGGGCTTGCCAACAGATATCGGCAGGCGAAAACGTGAGGAGGAGGAGGAGGCGACTTCCAAAGCCCGCCCCCGACTGGATTCGGGGCTACCATATCTCGTGCTTCAGGGGCGAACAATCCACCTGAGGCTGTGGCTGGACAAGCCTCCTCCTTCCTCCCCTCAAACTGCAGAAACGACCGGACGCTATAATGAAGAAACTCAGCCTGTCTTTTCAACCATCGCCTTGCCTATCTATTCGCCGTCGGGCAGGCTCGTCGGCTCGCTGCACCCAGACAGCCTCGCGGCGACGACGCGCCCACAGACGGCATCACCAGCCAACATTGCCGACCTCGTCGCCGTATCGCTGTCGCAAAAGCGAATGGCGGGGTCCGTGCTGCCAGAAAAAAAAAGCTCCTCGAGCGTGAGTAAGGACGGCAAGAACGACGAGAAGCTCCTCTGGGCCCTGCGCGTCGTCGACGGGGCCGAGGGGGGGGCGATGGACAGGCGCGGGATCGAGCAGGTCCGCGCGTCTGCGCTCGCCGGCGGCGTGGAGCCTGGCGCGCAGATGATGGCGATATTTCAAAGGCTCCATAGTTCCATTTCGCGACATGGTCATCTCAGCCGTCTTGGCGAAGGGGTGCGTCCACCGCGTGATAGGGTTCTGGTGGCCGATGATGTTGCCAACTTAGTGCATAATGGGCCCGTACGTCTCCTCCCGCTTCTTTGCCATGCCCTTCATGTCCGGGTCATTCCTGTACTCGGGATCCTTTGGCCAGGCTGGTGTCGACCGTAAGCATGTAGACGGCCATTTTTGTCAGGCCGTTGCGGTGCACGAGGTCTGAGAGCTCGTCGATCTGTTCGCTGAGCTTTCCCCAGCCATCCAGAACACAGGCTGAGACGCGCCAGGAAGTTGACTTGGCGGCTGCCGACGGCCTGGCCCGTGATGGTGACACCCACACACGTGCCGAGCCCGCCCGTCCAGTGCAGTAGTATAGCCGGCCATTGGGTTCTGGCTGTTTCCTGTCGAGGCCTTGGGGAAGGAAGACCGTGGGGTGCTTGACCTCACAGGCCACCGGCCCGAATTGGCGCTGTCATACTTAGCGTGACTGCCGACATAACAACCTCGAGGCGCTCGAGGCATAGCTCGGACCCTTTTTTCTCAACATCTGAAGCATATCAGGGCCGAACCGCTGATAATCCTCGCCTTGTGTTCCTACTTTCCGTGTCTCCCCGAATAGACTCGTTCTCCCCATTGCGCGCGCTGGACTTGCCAAATATGCTTTCCGTGATCATACACGTACGTCTGTTCCCCTATGTCCAACACCCTGAGGGAGCACCGGGAAGACTTTTTAGTCTTGATGTCGGGCAAAACGGAAACATTGTCAATCAAGGCTTCCATGGCAATTTCTGACATCATTCGCCTCGGAGCCTTGTATCATGTTTCAAGTTTTTTTTTCTCTTTGTTTTGTTTTTCCCCTCCCTCCACCTATGAAGCAAACGCACACCTTCCAGACTTCCAGTGAACCACAATTCCATCCGCCGTAGTAGAACAGTCTGTTAAAGTACAAAAATCCCAAACTCCTACAAGTCCCATGTGCTCTTAAATATCTCAGTGGGCGTTCTACTCGCAAGTCACATCATGATACGCAGAATCGTCAAGCCCTAGGACGTGGCACTGAACCAACAGGGGGCCAACGCCTCCTACGCGGAAATGGGCGCGGGCATGGCGTTGGCCGAGTGGGGAAACAGCGGCGCGCTGTCTCTTGGCTGCTGCTGCTGCTCCGGGTTCGGCGTAAGGCGCCGGTTGAGTGCGGCGCCGGCCTCGCCGGGGATGCGCGAGGCCATGCGGTCCGGAACCAGGTCCGGCGACACGGAGCGCACGGGGTACTCGGCGTAGGGCGCTAGGTTGTGGGCCATGCGCGGCTGGGGCGCGACGAGCGTCGGGGGCGCCGTGGGAGACGTGGGCGACTCGATGACGACTGCCTTGGGGGCGATGGGCACGGTGCCGGTCCGGATCTTGGACGGCAGGATCTGCTCAAAGCCCTGGGTGGTCGCGACTTGCTCGATGCTCTTGAAGTACTGTTTGTGCGGAACAGGGGCTGGGTCAGTTGACCTCTTTTTTTTTTTGGGTTATGGTGCCGAAGAGGGGAACGTACCTTGACGGTCTTGACCTGCAACTCCAAGGTGGCGTCCTCGTCGCAGACGATCATGGGGTGGGGGTGCAGCTGCAAGCTGGACAGGGTCCACATGTGGTTCACCTGTGCGTTTGTATTAGCAGCCAGCCTCGTCTGCGGAGGGCACTAGGAGGTGAGCGGAAGCCGGGCGGGGCCGGGAGGGCTTACCCCCTGCTCGATGCAGCGCTGGAGGGCCAGGGCCTTGCGGGCGCCCAGGATGATGACGACGACCTCGCGGGCCTCGAGCACGGTCTGGACGCCGACCGTCAGGGCCATCTTGGGGACGGCGTCGAGGTCGTTGCCGAAGAAGCGCGAGTTGGCCAGGATGGTGTCGTAGGCGAGCGTCTTGACGCGGGTGCGCGACGCCAGCGACGAGCCGGGCTCGTTGAAGGCGATGTGACCGTCCTCGCCGATGCCGGCCAGGAAGAGGTCGATGCCGCCGGCCCGCCGGATGGCCGCCTCGTACTCGACGCACTCGGCCTCGAGGTTGGGCGCGTTGCCGTCCAGGATGTGCACGTTGGCCGGGTCTACGTTGACGTGCGAGAAGAAGTGCTTCCACATGAAGGTGTGGTAGCTCTCCGGGTGGTCCCTCGGGATCCCGATGTATTCGTCCATGTTGAACGTGACCACATTCTCAAACGATACCTGTCTGCTGGTTAGGGGCGCTCATGTGTTGACTTCTCTTTTAGGCACCGGGTCGCTGCTCACCTCCCCGGCCTTATACTTCTCAACCAGTGTCCTGTAGACCCCCAACGGGCTTGAGCCTGTTGGCAGACCCAGGACAAAGGGATGTGCGGCAGTAGGCTGGAAATGGTTAATCCGATCCACTATGTAGTTGGCCACGTAGCGGCTGGCGCGCTCCTCGTCGTCCCTGATAATGAGCCTCATCTTGACTGTATGTTCTAGGACAACTAGGGCGTGGGTTGGTGCCGGCGCTGGATAGGATGCCCCACAGCAGCAAGTTCGGAGCACAGAGCAGGTGATGGGCCAAGATAAGAGACCTGGAAAGGGAGTCGAGTAGATAGGTCCTCCTTGAGGTGCAGGGTCCTGTATCAGGTCGTCTCTCCAGAAGGCAACGAGTAGGGTAATTTGAGGTCAAAGACTGGGCTACTTTTGAAAGATTTCCAGGTAGGTGGGTTGAGGAAGACGGCGAGGGGTTACTGAGGCCAGTAGGCACTGAGGTTTAGATGTATGTGTGTTCGGTCGGTGGGAGAGGGGCCAAAGTCTAGTAGTAAGAACCGGGGATCCACGCCCAGTCCCGCCACTGATAGGAGTCTCGTCTGGTACTGTCGGCTTAAGGTGCCCGACGGGGACAGCCACCCTTCCGAGCATAAGACGGAGGCAAGGATTATTTCGTCCGGACGAGGGCAGTCACCACCTCAGCCTGGCCACATACAGCATGTACATGACGGGAAAACCACGCAACCACGCAACCACTAGGCACCTGGCCCGGGCCCACGGGTAGGCAAGTCCAGAGAAGCGATAGAAAGCTTCGGCAGGTTGCCACCCTCACCTCGAAGGCTCGGCGCAAGCGTCTGGCAAAGTCAGTCAGCTGTCTCAGAAGCATGGCCATCCAGGCCCAGGCTGGGAACACAGTGGGACGCCATCGCTTGATGAGGTTCCACGCCCGGGCGATCCGCTGACCAGGTGACAAGGTGTGGAGGTTCATGGGCGCGGCCGCGAGAGCATGAGGCATATACACAGTAGACGGCCGTTGCGGGCGATGAAACGTTCACTGGAGAGCGGCACCAAGCAGAGATGGAGGTCTCCAACCTAGCGTGCCTGGCTCCCCGTGGAGGGGTCTCGCTCGGCCGCACACAGCCCACAGTGCGAACTCTATGGGCGTGGAGCAACCTGTTGTGCTTTGATGACGCCCCGAGGCCGCGACAGGCGACGTCAAGGAGCCTAAGGAGGCGCCCCGAGGGCAATGCATGGAGGAGCGATCAGATATGCGGCGGCCGTACGCTGAGGCAAAGGCTGCATCACGGGCTCGGGAAGGGCACTCGGATTGGCTGGAGGGGGCCAGCTCGCTGCCACCAACGAATCAAAGCCCAGAGCGGCTGACGCCCGCGTGTCTGTCCACGGTTTTTTTTCTTCGCGGGGAGCCGACCGAGGTTTCCACAAGCTTGTTCTTCGGTTCTCGGAGAGCTGGAGCTCCAATGGGCGGGCACTGAGGGGCACCAGCTTGCTGCTGTTGGAAACAACGTGACGCAACCTCCAATCAGGGGGGGCAGACCCCAACGCCATCAGTGGATGCTCAGTGGATGCTCACCCGCTGTGGCGTAGATCCAATCCCCGACCACGTTCCCTTGTGCGGCTTATCAGAGCCACAGGGTCCAGTGACTCCAGTTCTGCCTCGATTCGTCGCGCCTTGCAACGTTACTTTAACCTCCGCCCGCATTGTTGCCTCCTCCCAGCCCGAGGTAGCAAAACCAGCACCCATTCCCCAGCCCGGGCCCGTTCACGCCCCCATCTCCTGCGAGACTCCTGCGAGACTGGCACCTGGCTCCAGGCCCGGCTGCTCGGGAATTTGTGCGCCCGAGACGGGACGCCCTCAGGCTTGGCCAACCGCGTCGGGATGCGAGGTTGCTTCCACCCCCAGATGTGCTCCTCCCTCCCGCCCGCCAGGCGTGTTGCCATGTCCCGCAGAAAGGCCGACATCAGCTAGTTGCATGTTCCGGCCGGCGTGAATCCCTGTAACCTTGGCCGCCAGCAACCATCCGCCTGGGAACACGTCCGCCGCGCAACGCAGGCGGGCGGCCACACCGCTGGCAAGGGCGCATTGATTCAGACACAAGCCCTCCCGCCATAGTCGTCTTCTTTTATTGGGCGTCTACGGCGCTACGTAGGTCGCGAGGCTCGATGGAACGAGTGTCCTCCCTGACCCAAGAGCTAGTCTCCTTCCGATGCTACAGTACCCCCCTGTCCCGCCCGCCGGGATCCTGTCGTCCCCCAAGTCCCACCTTTGTTCTCTCCCACCTCCGCACCATCGTTCACGTCGACAACATCCAAGGCTCTGATGGCGTCACGGTCGGTTTAGAAAGAGGCTTCATTCTCGCATTCCTTTCGTCTTCTCGTCTGTTTGGCGGCGTCGATTTCCTCCGCTTTTTTCTCTTTTTTTCTTTTCTTTTTTGCATTTCGCCTCCCATCAATACGGGCGCTTTCTTCGGCCCGTAGAGCGACGCACAAGGTGGACTTCTCGTATTCTGCCAGAGGTCCAGATCCTTGTAGCCCCCCAGACGTGGTCGAGAAAGGCCAGATAGCGCAGTCTCCATGCCCAAAGGGACATGATATATAAGGTGCCACTCGCGCAAAACATATCCCCCAGTCCCCTCCCCTCCTCGATGCCATGGAGCCGCTCGCTTCCGCCATGACATCGCTACGAAGTGCCCTCATCGCCGCACTCAGGTCTCTCCTCGTGGGAAGATCTCTCATCCAGGCCATCCTAGCCTACTGGACCGGCCGCAACACGCTCAAGCAGCTCGATGGCAACCCGGCCCCGATAGGTCCCTCTGGCGGCGGCCGGCGGCAGTACGACGGCATCCTGGAGTTCCTGCAGGAAGCCGAGGAGCTCCTCCTACAACCGGTGAACCCCGCGGCCCTCCGCGAGTTCTCGCTCCAGCTGAAGGCCCAGCTGCGAGAGCGGCTCTGGTCGGACACGGCATGCATGCTTCCTTCATACAACCACCTGCTGCCCGACGGCTCCGAGCACGGACGCTACCTGGCTCTGGACGTCGGCGGCTCGACTTTGCGTGTCGCCTTGGTTGAGCTGGACGCCAAGGCCAAGGCCGGGCGTGGGGGCAAAAGCAGTATCGTGCGAATGAGCACCTTCAGGATAGACAGCGACATAAAGAACCTCGTGGGAATGGACTTCTTTGACTGGGTGGCTGCCAGGATCGTAGAGACCGTATCTTCGGCGCCCGAAGACGCACATGAAAATGGCTCCGAGAAGCCAATACCAGTGGGGCTGGCATGGAGTTTTCCCATCGAGTATGTTGATATTTTCTTTCCCTTCCCGTGCTTGTGTCAACTCGGATATGCTGACACGTGTTTGTTCGGCTTGCTTAAAGACAGACTTCGGCAAAAGGAGGGTTACTTCAGGGAATGGGCAAGGGGTTCCTTGCAGCTGATGGGCTGCTTGGGCTGGATTTGGGCGACATCATCCAAATGGCTTGCAGCAAGAGAGGCCTCAATGTAGAGCTGGCCGCCATCGTCAACGACTCTTCCGCCACACTCCTCTCCGAGACCTACCAGAGTCCGTTGACACGATTCGGTCTGATTCTCGGCACCGGCTTCAACATCTCGGCATTCCTTAGCACATCAGCTATAGATGGACCAAAATTCGGAGCCCGGCAGGCCAGCTGGCTGCAAAAGGCTAGCCATGTCATCATCAACACCGAGATGGGCATGTTCGGCAAGGGCATACTGCCCATGACGAGATGGGATCGGAGGCTTAACGATTCGCACCCCAAGCCCGAATTCCAACCACTGGAGCACTTTGTGGCCGGTTTTTATCTCGGAGAGCTCGCCAGGCTGGTCCTGGTTGAGGCGATCGAGTCGACGGGCATTTTTGGCGGGATCGTGCCGCCGAGCCTGTTGAAGCCATACTCGCTCGAGACCGAGACGATATCTGCTGTCGAAGGGTAAGACTACCCATCTCTTTCCAGGCCACTGCTTCTCTGTCCCCTGGAGACCAACGCCCAAGGTAAACTGACCTGTTCTCGCGTTCTGGCGTCAACAGTGACACAACGTCGTCCCTTTCGGGTGCCATCTCTGCATTCTCGGCCCGCCACCCGTCACCGGTCGCCCCAACGACGGAAGACATGACGGCGCTCAAGACCATCGCCTCGCTCGTGACGCAGCGGTCTGCCGCCATAGTGGCCGCTGCCGTGCACGGGCTGTGGGAGCTAAAGGCGGAGACGGAGTGCGAGTGCCTCGAATCGCTCACGGAAGCCGCAGCAGCGTCTGCCAGGAGCGATGCGCCGACAGACGCGCGAGATGGGTGCCGCTTCATGGAGCAAACAAAGGCCGAGATGGGTCTTGGACGTGTCATGGTCGCCTACAACGGATCTGTGATAGAGCAGTACCCGGGCTTTTTGAAGAACTGCCAGGGGTACATTGACGGGCTTCTGGCGTCGTCGTCGTCGTCGTCGTCGTCGTCACGCCTGTCTGGGGGAATAGAGCTGGTCCCGGCCAAGGAGAGCTCGCTTATCGGCGCGGCCGTTGCGTTGGCGTGCCGCGAGGAAGGCAAGGCGAACTAGGTGCATGGACCGGACAGGAACCGGACAGGAGGGCTGACCATAGCCAGGTGCCCAGGCGGCGCACATGCCGTGTGTCGGGGAGTAGTCGGCTTTATTCCGAACAACGAACGGACGTGTCGTCACATTTTTCAGCCTGGCAGCAGTTCTTGGGTGGGATATGTGAGGTTGACACGATTCTAACCCATCCCTTTCTTTTTGTCTTCTTTTTGTCTTTAAATTTGAGATGACTTGGCTCCACGATTGGTCTGGATCCGGCCACCTGCTTCTTTTGGCTAAACGCTGTGCGACCCACCCAACGTGGGATTTAGGGACAGCCCAAAGGGGCAGCCAAAAGAGGAACAGGAAGAGAGGCAGGAAGAAATCCCGCTAATTCTCTGCGTTCTCCCGTGTCGGAATGCATGCGGGCAATTCTGCCTTGCGCACAAGGTTGGCCGATCCCTCGTGTCGGCTGGGCAAAGCCGCCGTCGATCGTCAGCCACGTCGCTAAGAGCCGGCTAGGGCTTCGTATTTTGACATGGTCGGTGACTCCCGTCGGTATTTTTGGATTCTTTTTTGGTGAACGGCTCTCGCCCAACTGGTCGATCGGATGTGGCGCTCGCAGTCGACATCGGCATCGCGTGGGGGGCTCAATCGGATCGCTCAAATCGTGGTGCCCGGTACCTCGCCCCAGCCCCAGCCTCCCCAGCTGGGGGGCGTCAAATCCACTGCAGGAGCGCCGACCAGGTTCCCCCACAACTAGCTAGGGGGCGCCGAGTGCCACTAAACTCCACCTCCAACTGCCACCCGACTCAGCGGACGACCCTGTTGCCCTTGGATCGTCCGAAGATTCAATTGATCTACGCCAAAGCGCGCACACGGTCGCTAAACCGCCGTCCTGGGTCTATGCTGGAAAACAAACATTGATCTAGTCTCCAACGTCTCGTCTTGACAGCCAGCCCCTTATCAGCCACGACCGCCAGCCCGCTTGACCGCCGAATCTCACCACCTGCCGAGTTGCCAAGTCGCAAACCAGCGGCGAATCAAGACCAAGCCAGCTCCCCAAGGCTGACTGTGCTGCGATAGGGGCCGCGAGGACTTGGAAAAGACCGGGAAAACATTGAAATCACCCGAAAGCCCAGGAGGGAGCCGCCCAGCACAACAGCGCAGAAGGCAGACGCGATCGACCGCAACGCCGACGGCTCAACGGCCACCCCAGGACACAGCAGATCCATCCAAATAGAGTTTACAGCCAGCGCCGACGAAGCCGAGCAAGAACAGCGACGCGCGCGCGCCTGGACAAGTAGAGGGCCTTCCTCGGCGCCTAGGCGTCATCGATGCCGCGCCCTGAATGCGCAGCCTAGCATGACATGATGGCCGCCTTCAACTCCACGGCCACACCCTCGGGCCGCGACGGCATGGGCCTGAACGTCAACACCGGCGCGAACCCGCTGGGCATGGGCGTCTTCGATCCCGACATGCCCTTTGACGAATCCATCCTGTGAGTGCCTTGTTGTCTTGACCGGGGCGATGGGAGTGACGCGCCATGTCGGCTAACCAAAGGCCTGACTGGCTTGCGAACAAATCAGTGAGAACGTCCAGGGCCTCCAAAACATGCCGTACACGCCGGCGTACGACTTTGAGCAGTTCTCGGCCACATTTGAAGACCCCTTCTCGTATCCATCACGGCCCAGCTTCACGGCCGCACCACCAGGTAGCGTGGCGACGACGACGGCATCGATAGCCGCGGTCTCGGCAGGACCGTCGCATGGCGGCAGACACGTACACCACCACCACCACCACAGCACCATCGATCTCGACGCCGGTTTCGCGGACCCAGAGTCGTCGCCGCCCGACAGCGACGTGGACAACAAACTCCTAAGCTTCTCGGGCCCCATCACACACGCCACGCTCCTGGACGAAACCGGACAGTCCGTCGAAGTGGCATTGACGGCGGAGCTGTACGGCATGTTCTTCGTGGCCGAGGACGTCTTCAGCGGGGACAGCAGCATGGGCGGCAGCCGGCCGCACGAGCTGACGTGCTACCGCCGCAACCTGTGGCAGTGCTCGGGCCACGTCGCGATACCCCGGCGCGTCACACACGTTGCGCTGCCGCCTGACCAGGGCGGCGCCACGGCCCCGCTGCTCGAGCTGGCCGTGTCCATAACCGCGACCGAGTCTATCGACGGCAAGCCCACCGAGATAATATCCATACCGTGGAAGAGCAGCAACCCAAACGCCGCGGCGGGCGACGACCACTCAAAGTCGGCCGGCGCGCCCCCGCAGATATCTCTCGACATGACGGATGGCGGCGGCGGCGGGCAGGAGCCCGACGGCAGCTTCGTGTCGGCGCCCGTGTCGTGGAAGCGGCTCCAGTTCAAGCATGCCACCGCCAACAACGGCCGGCGCAAGGGGCTGCAGCAGCACTACGTCGTCCAGGTCTCGCTGCTCGGCAGGCTGGGCCTGGCGCAGCAGCAGTCGTTTGACGGCGGTGACGGGCTGCCAGCCCCCTCCTCGCCGGCCGGCGGCTTCGTCAAGCTGGCCGAGGTGCAGTCGGGCCCCGTCATCGTGCGCGGCCGCAGCCCGCGCAACTTTGATAGCAGAAAAGACGTGCAGCTCATCAGCGACAAGAAGCCGGAGCGGCGCAGCGTGTCAAACGACCCCGTCTCGGCAGCCGCGGCCGCCACCAAATCTGAATACGTCAAGGGGGAGGTGCCGCACAAGGGGCAGTCCCACCAGGCACAAGGGAACACGCAGGCAAGTAATTTGCTCTCCATGTACATGTCGGGTGTTTCCCCAACAAGCTGGGCTAACACCGACTGCCACTCCCTTCAGCAGAATGCCGACTGGACGTACAACAGCGGCGGCAATGGCGGGAACCCGCACTCGTCAAAAAGAGCAGCTGTCTCGCCGAATCCAAACAGGCCGCCGGTGCCGTCCTGGTCCGGACCGTCAGAGCCGCCGCACAGGCAGCAGCAGCAGCAGACCGCGTCCGCCATGGCGATGCGCCGTCCCTCGGCGGCACCGCCGCCGCCGACGCTGCCCATCAACCTGTCGCTGTCCGAGGATGAGCGGTCGCCGCCGAACCGGTCGAGCGTCGACTCGCTGTCGAGCCCACAGCTCGGCAAGCGCCGGACCGCTTCGGGCCACAACCCGGGCGGCAGCCCCGTCGAGAGCGCGGACTTGCTCTATGAATACTTTCCCCTCAGTCTCGACGACTTCCTCGACCCAGTCGACGCCGTCTACCGGCCGCACGTCGTCCACCACATCCGCACTGTCGAGGAGAACCCGCGCCCCGTCCGGGGCGGGACGAAGCGATACTTTGTGCCCGACTGACCTATCTGTTTTATCCTATTTTTTTTTTGGTTCAAGGCTTTTCCCAGTGGCGTTTTGGGAGCTTCAAGGGTGGAGGGTTACAAGACACGAGACAAAAGAAGGGGGGTCGGGATGCAACGACATTGATCCGATTTTTTTTGTATTTTCAGGTAGGGACGGGTGTAATATACTATGATACCCCTCGGGGCCCGCGTTTTGCGCCCGAGCTTGTGCATTAATTATGTTGAAGACTTGGAACGATCTGTTTCGGTTCTACCACGGAGGGGAGAGGAGCGGGAGCGCCATTTCAGCCGGCATGTATGCGAATAATACACTTGGACTTTTGGATTCTCCCTCTTTCAAGCTGAGCTTTTATAGCGGGCCTAGCCAGTGGCGCTGACGGCGCGCCAACCAGCATCAATTGATTCCAGCTGAACGGAGGCTGAGACATGCGGAGCGGCCCGCTCGCCCGATCTCGACGCATGCGGTGCCAATCCGAGAAGAAGGCTTAAAAAAGAAAAAAGGATGAATTCCCCAGTGGTCACCTACCTGAGGACCAGTTCGGCTCAAGTATAACTGCTTGGCGCGGGCAGGCGACCAAGGATAAGGGCTCGCACCAGGGGGCTTGGGTACGCCTTTTGAGAATTTCGATTGAGAAAAAGAATGAAGAGCGAGGAAAATATCTCGGCAAATCATCACTGTCTACGGTTACGGCTATTCCCACCCAGCAGCCAAGAACATGGCATTGCCCAGAGGCAGCCATCTAGATTAAACCAACACATGCATACGTGCCAAGCTGGAGCAGCCGGCGGTCACTCCCGACGCCCGAGTTCCATCTGATGAAGGCGACTTACCCAGGCGGAAGGTCTTGCGGTTTCCAACCATGACGGGTTGTGTCGGCGTCGGCGTGGAGACCTGAGACGACGTGTCAAGAAGGGGGGTTTGTTAGTATATCAAGGGTACAGACGCGCAGACAAAAAGGGATGGACGACGTACACCGTTGCCTCACGTGGTCGTGGTGGGAGGACGGGTGGTCTGGCTCCCCACGGCGCCGACGCAGGTGTGATGGCCCGGAATGAGGAACTGGCAAGTCGTTATCGAGAGCCGGGTTCCAAGAGAATAGCTATGCGTAATTAGGAATGCTATACGTGGACTGGATGGCGCCGCAGCTGTCGCCGCTCTGACCAGATGGAATCTATTACAGTTGCCAACCATGCCAGACTGCGTCAGCGCCGGCGTGGAGACGCCGTTGCCGGCGCTGGTCGGCCCCGCCGTCGTGGTGACGGGCGGCGGGAACCCGAAGTTCTGCTCGATGCAGTACGAGTTGCCCAGGACGAAGACGCAGCCGCTGTTGGCCAGTGATGGGTTCTGCGGCCCCGGTGTTTGTGTGTGTGTGTTAGTGGGGGGTTATCACACGCGCGTCGGGGCGGGTGTCCAGGTTTACAAACGGCTATGGCTGGCGGTTCAGAAATTGAATTGATCCGTGGATGCTTCCCTTCGCGTCTATATATGTGCGTTGGCGCTTGGCTCGGGCTGGCTGCAGGTCATGGGCTCGATTCCGGGGCTGGTTATTGGTGGGATATACGTCGACACCTAGAAACACCATAAAGTCGCGCGTATAAAGGACGGCTCGCTCCAGGTAGTCCAGGGCCTTGTTGGCTGGCCCTTCTATATTCTCGTTTAACTACCGCCGAAATTTAATCCACACACATTTCTCATCACACTTTTGCTCGCTTGCCTTGCTCAGTTTGTCTCAACACCAGCACACGCACAGCCAACATCTCGCTTCGAAAGCAAGAGCAGGCACCCGCCTCGGGCCCCCGTCGGCAGGAACCATGTCCTTCACAGCCTTCCCCAGGCTCCCGCTGGAGCTGCGCCGCCAGATCTGGGCCATGTCCATGCCCGAGCCATAGCCCGAGGTCTGCATCGTCTGGCCCCTCGTCTTGGGGCGGGAGCGGGACGGTCCGGGAAGGTGGGAGAAGCCCGCGCTGCCCCTCGTCGTCGACACGGCCTGGCCCGCCATCATGCACGCCTGCGGCGAGGGCCGGAGGGCGGCCCTCGAGTCCGGCGACCTGACCCTCAGGCGCCGCTCGGCCGCGGCCGGCGACGACATGCGCGTGCCGTACCGCGCGTTCGACCCTGCCATCGACACGCTCTACTGGGGCGAGGGCCAGGCGGACGCCATGGACGACTGGCTGGTCCACAACGGCTACAAGGGCTACGGAGGCGGAGGCGGCGTCGGCGTCGGCCGCGCCCTGCGCCACGTCGCCGTCAACGTGGCCGCGCTCGAGCCCATGGGGTTCCTGGGCGAGATTGTGCGGCAGACGGCGACGGGGCTGCGCACCCTCTCCATCGTCCTCCCCAACGGCGGCGGCAGCTGCGGCGGCGGCGGGCAGCAGCAGCAGCGTAGACACAAATTCAGGACGGGGTTCCTGCCGCCCGCGCGCCGTTGTCGGCTGCGCGAGCTGCCGCCCGACGTGTGCGGCGAGACGAGCATATCGAGCGGGTACTCGGAGAGCTATCCCGACCCCCCGCCCGAGGACCTCGCCGGCTTCGTGCAGTACGTGCTCGACGAGATGAGCAGCCACGTGCGCCGGGCGCGCGTCACGGGGCCGGAGGGAGGCACCGCGTGGATCGCCCAGGATGAATACTTCGGCGGCTTGGCGGTAAAGGTACAGACATTTGTCGAGTACGACGGTGGCGGTGGTGGTGGTGGTGGGCGCTGGGAGGAGGTCTGCGGCGCGCGCATGCTGGATCGTGACCTGGGTCGGAAGACGCGCCCGCCTCACCTGGAGGCCTCGGAACGCGGCGACCCGACCGAGTACCGCGTCATCGAGGACGACTGCCTCTGGGAGCTGCTCTCGCCGCCCCGTGACCATGGAGATTATGACCGAGACGACCCCTGGTAGATGCGGGATCTGCCAAGGCCTCTCGTCGATAATACGTGGTGTGATAGTATGGCGCTTATTTGATCCTCGGCCGGCTTGCCTGTTCTCAATGCAAGCTAACTTCGATGCTACCAAATGCCTCACGCACTCGCCAGCAGCTATCACCAATATTGTCACTACTGTGATTCCGTCTGCCTGTTGTTTAAGGCGCTATCCCCGGATAACTATATGTCCAGCTTCCTGCGGCCTAAAGGGAAGACCCTGGGCCGGGGTTTTTGAGGGGACGAGGAGGGTGAGATTATCAACTAGACTATCGAGAAACCTAGGGGTATGGCACTTGACAGTCCCTAGTTAGTGTCGTGAACTGAGAGTGGACGGCCTATATGGAAAGGCATCGGAACAAGGTTCAGTCTGCACTCTTCACGGGTTGAGTCTGACAAGAATCCAGCCGCGGCCCCAAGTGTCCAGGCCTAGTTTTGGATGCCAATATGAAATATGACGAGAGAAATCTGGCACGAGTCTCGTGTATGTAGTACTGCGGGGCTATGTAGGGGGTCGAGGGGCGATGCGGGCGATATCCAGGAACCTTGGCCGACAAGGTATTTCTAACAGATCCTGGCACGCTATTTAGATACTTATTTCAGGGGTTTTGATGATGCCATCAATAGATCAGCAAGTGTTGCTCGAATTTCTGTGTGTCAACGGTTTGAACAAATCAGGTCTCTAGTCGTACGCATGCTATACAAACTCATGCACCTGCTCGGGCATATCCATCAACTTCCAGAGCCCCTTGACCTTTCGAACAACCCTGTAGCGGCACGACTCCAAGCCAGCTGGGCTGCCGGCACCCGATCCGGCCCCATTTCCCGGCCTCGCCGTCGTCGCCTCGTCGGCCACGGATTCCGATGAGCCTCTCTGTACCTTTTTTCCCCTCGCCTTTGCCGACAACTGGCCCTCGTCCTCGTGCCCCGTCTCCTGCTTGTTGAACCCATCCTCGGCGGCGGCGTCATCGCCTGCCAAGCCACCGCCACCTTTGGCTTCTTGCCCGTCTCTTCTTCCCTCCTCATCGCTGTTCCCGCTCACGCTGGGCTCCTCCTTCACGACCACCCAGCACGTGCTCATGCTCCGCACCGCGGGCCGCGGAAGCACCTCCCAGGTGGGATTGTACGGGGTTGCCACGGTGCAGCGCCCGTTGACGTCAAACGTCGCCGCGGGGCGCCATCCGCCCCGGCCGCGTTCGTTCTTGATGGCCCCTATGATAATATCCATCGAGTGCATTAATGTCGCTAGGTTGCTCGCATTCACCCTGATCCCTTCTCGCTCGTCTTCCGGGAACATATAGGCGAACCCTATGGCCATATCCCGGGACAACCGCTCTTTGAACTGCTTTCTATGAATCATCGCCTTAGTCGCCATTTCCTTGGGCATCTCTAGCGGGCCCTCTACTTTGTCTGCTGATGGCGCGAGCTTGTCCGAGTTGTATGGCTTGCCCTTGGATATGTAATCCAGCAACCGCAGATCCGGCTTGTTCTTGGAAGCGGTCGCTTCAAACATCTCTGGGCCTTCTCCTTTTTCTGCTGATGACACGGGGTTGATTAGGATGCTTTGGAGATTCTTCATCCGCCTTATGAATTCCGCCTCTAGATCCTGCGGTGCTGCGGCGCCTTCGCCGACAATGGGCTGGGTGTACCGCCCGGCCCACAGTGTGCCCTTTTGCATGATGCGATCTACGAACCAAGTCTGGTAGTAGCCGCCGCGACTACTGTTCGAGTCCTTGTCAAGCTTTAGTGTCTGGAAAGGGGCGGCCTGGACGGCCGGGTGGGTGAAGAGCTCCTGGCAAACGATGTCTGGGAGGCGTTCCGTCCCTTTCCAACCAGGTAAGAAGCCGACACGTAGCGACTGCCAAATGCCGTTGGCCAGTTGGTAGCCATATGGGTCTTCGAGGGTGGCCAGATGGAGCAAGATGCCGAATATAATACCGCCGACGTCCATTTGACTCTCCGAGTCCCCTGCGACTCTGTCTGTATTGAAATAAAGCTGGAACTTCACAGAACCTGGTGTCAGGTCGCCCCATAAGAGAGAATCTTTCGGCAGAACGCTGTTGTGGCGTAAGAGCTCCGCCTTAAGGCTGTTTTTGAAGTCGATGTCTTTGTGCGCAAATTGTCGTTCAGCCTGGCCCACACGCCTGGACCAGTCCCCCGCAGTTTCACCCTCGACAGCATCGGGCTCAATCTTGATATCCTTCAAGTTGTTCCATATATCGCTGTATTTGGCACGGAGAATTTTGAGATTTAGCTCCTTGTCAACTGTCCATATGTGTGCGGCCAAAGGTAGGCCGGGATTTGACGGGAGCTTGGTGGGGGGTTGCCTGTATCTGTACACCGTTGGCCTGAAGCGAATAAAAGACTGCGGATTCGAATCAGATATCGCGCCGGGGTGTGTATCGAAGGGCGAGAACAGGCCGCCGGTGAAACGTACGGCGCAGCTGCATTCCGGATCATGGCAGCTATCACTTATAAACTTTTCCCTGGGGCAGGGATACATCTCGGGCACAAGCAGGGAAAAGTCTGAATTGAGGAGCGCGAGCGACAGGATTCCGGCGCGGAGGGAGCCGCAATTTGTTACAGCGTCAAGGTCGATACGGAACTCGTAGCGGCACATGTTGGCCATAATGGCTATGCGGTCCTGGGCATCGCGGCATTCGCGGGTCCTGAGCATGGCAAATGCCGTGGCGGCGCTGACGGCTCTTCCGTTGTTGCCGTACAGGGTGGGAATTGCGATGCGACAGTCTGTCCACATGTCTTCATCGAGCGTTACGGTAGAGTGGATGGCCTCGGCGGCTTCTAAAAGCCGATAGAAATCTTCAGAAACAGCGGCAACGCCGATGGAAGCCTCGGCCATTCCCGCCATCCGAAGGCCCTGGATGAGCTTGAGCGTGGTGATTTTGTTACGATCGCACAGCGACCTCATGGTCCGCAGGAGCTTGTGGAAGTCGAGTAGGCTGATGCCGACAACCTCGGACGGCATCTTGGGCTCCTGGCCGTCTAGGCTGTGGGGCGGCAGGCTTCTGTGGCCGATGGCACGTCGTCCACGGAACCGCGACCTGCCCACAATACCCGGCGCCCTACGGAACACCAGGAAAAGTTGAGCTCCGGCATTGACGGCCTCCTGCACGACCCAGGCGCGTTTATAGCCTGCAGAGGATATGCGGTCAGGCTTATGTCGAGCGGGATTTTCAACAAACAGAGGGAAAAAGGCCACTTACATTGATCGCTGACCACTGTCTTCAAGTATCTGGCAACATGAAATACGGCAACAGGCGATGTGACATCACCAATCGTAGAAAGCGAAACGCCGTTTGGTAGATCAAGGTTGATCAGCGCGTTGATGGCGTCCAACTGCTCCTGGCTATCCACCAGTCCGTTATGAAGGCCGGCCGTTGCCAACGCTCTTTGATAAACGATATCCATAGCCCGAACGCCGATCCGCTGGTAATCTTTTTCCTCCCGAGGGCTCGCTTCGGTGGGCTGTGGGAGGCATTCCTGGTCGATCCAAATCATACGGAAGCCGACGGTATTGGCAAAATCGACGGCGCGGTCGAGGACGTCATCCAGGGCGCGGGCGGCCCGAGTCGAGCCGTCAAGGTCGCGTACTTGGCAGGTCTTAACCTGCGTACTCCCCCCAGCGGCCCCGATACCGTCTGGCGGCGGCGCCGGCCAGCAGTACGAGACGGCCACGTAATGGCGGCAAATGTCGTGGTAGTCGAGCATTCCCATGGTCTCTGGAGATTCGGACTCGGCAGTCGGCCTGAAAAGGCGAAACTTGCGGGTCTTTCTGTTGTTGGGAAACTCGGGAACTCTAGCGCAGACCTTGCACTTGCGAATCAAGTCTTCCGCGGACAGCTTGTGGTGTCCTGCAGAAGCGCCGCTTGAGGGGCCCGCGTGCCCTTCGTGTCCTGCTGGAGACTCTGGGCTTGGCGGGTCGCTGGGCCAGGAGGTGGCATCCTCCATAGGAAGATCCCTCGCAATTTGAATCACCCGGCCATGACCCTCTTCTTCACGGCCATCGCCACCCCCGGAGCTGCCCCTTGGTCCCGGCTCGGGATGAGGATCCCTGAGGCGCGGCGGGCTTGACTTTTCAGAACACGATCCTGCTACAGCATCCGCAGCTCCGGAAGCCTCGTCGATATCGTCGTCGTACACCTTCGATAATATGGAGTCAGTTTTCTCCGCAGACCCAGACAGCCTCATAACCAAACATGTGCTTGGAGTTCCACTGGGTGCAATAAACCTCTGCCTAGGCAAACTCTTGAAGTGCCGCATAAAGGCAGGAGTTCGCCTGGGAGATCACTTACCAGAAACTTCATATCTCGGAGCGCCCAAAGGTCGGCCTCGGCGCGATCGACATGGAGCTTCCACAAGCCGTGCATCTCCACTTTCTCCTTTGTCGAAAAGGGCGCCAGCTTGAGCCGGCGCGTGTCGTCCTCCATCAGAGCAGAGGGTGCTCCTGCTCAGGAGGCTTGGGTCTGCCTGCTTGTTGTCAAAGGAAAGCGGGCAGGAGCCACATGGAATGTGGAAAGAAGCGGACGGGTGCAGTAATGATTGTCTGGATCGAAAAGACCAGAGCTTTTTAGTGCCAAATGATTGAAGGATCTGGTGCCTGCCTTTCTACGCCAATTGAGTTAGGTAGGTAGGTGCCTAAAATCGAAAGGGTCGAGTCCTGGCAGACCTCATTCTACGATCGAAGCAGCGCGGGCTGTGGCTTCCATGTTTTCAATTAATCCATGTCATAGGCGCCTAGGCAGACAAGCAGACAGACGAACCAGCAGACGGACCAGCAGACAACCCGGCACACAAGCTAGCGCCGTGGTGACCCCCATGCGGGTGCCCAAGCCAGACAACTAATGCAAGTAGCCGGCTGGAGCCTCCCTTTCCTTTGCATCAAGGACGATGCCTTGGGCCAATGAACGAACAAAGTGACAGCCTCGCTGTGCCCCTCTTTTTCTGGGTTCTGCAGGCTGTGGCCTGGCTGCCAGGGAATGGGCGGTTGTGCAACACATGCTAACCGAAAAGGAAGCAATAATGGATGGCTAAACTATCGTGGAACGTTGTCATTATCGGCCTGGTCTGATGGTGCTGACAGTCCCGCCATGCCCGACGCCCTTCGCCGCCGCCCTTTTGGCCGCCACACCCTGCCACAAAAAAAAGCAGGGAAACTCCAGCAAGGCAGCTGGGGAGGCCTCCCGAGACGACAAGAATATGTAGCGCGCCGTCGGTAGATGGTAGGGCACACATGTGGCCGAGGCTATATCTACTGTAGATCCTAGGCAAAGCCGGGCAATGGGTGGGGTGGCTGCCACAGCCACCGCTAGGCAGGCAAAGCGTTGATTGGGTCTTGAGAGCACCGGTGAGAGACTGTACACATATGCTGGGCAACTGCAGCTTGCAGAGCTGCAGCCTCATCCTTCTCGCAACAGTACCCAATATCGGGCGCGTGCTGCGTTGGCGCCCAAGCCTGGGCACTGTCTCTGGGAGCCGGTCAGTCTTTTCGGCAGCAAGAGGCAAGAAAAGGCACCTGCACGATGGAGAAAGCATGCTCGACAAGCCATTTCACCGTATTTTTCTGGGCAGACCTGATGGCACTCGAGATGTGCTGGAATACATATTGAGGCCTCCACCACGGTCCAGGCTCCCACGGCCCCGGATTTCGGAGGATAAGTAGCAGCACAAGTCGTTTGTAGTTTTTCTTTGCGATGGGGAACTCGACAAGATATCATCACCATTATGTATCATTAGAACTACCCCTTGTCCTATAATGGCAGTCTTCTCCAATCTCCTTCTCCTGAGGTTCCAACTATTCATGTCGTCTTCTCGCCTCGGCACCCTAAACCAGTCGCAGGTGCACAAGTGAATGTTGATATGATGCCTATTAGTCCTCGGCTTGGTCAAGACCATTTAAAGCACATAGAGGGTGGGGCGGCCGCTATTGACCAGTGGTCAAGGCCGCGGGAGCCAAATGGCTCCCTGAGTTCTAATCCAACACTCACTGGTTTGACTAGGGGAGAGCGGACGGGATCCCGTATATTCCAGTGGGTATGGTGGTATGTGTTAAATCTTGCCGGTCGTTGGACATACAAGGATTTCAGCATCTCATTGGTTCTTGTTTTGGACTGCCGTTTACTGCTGATATCTTTGAAGCGATGTCCAAATGCGGGTCTGTACCTAAAACGGGAGCCAATTTACCTACCACTTATCAAACCTAACATCCCGCCCAATCTTCCACTAGCGACATTTTTTAACCGATAGTTTTCTCTGGTGGGCTCGACGCGCCGCGCCAATTCCACTTGGACCCTCCCCCCGACGCAGGCCCGGTTGCTCTCTTCAAGCACTTTGCCGTTTCCGGAAGCCATGGCGGTCGACGAGAATTCAGGAGGTCGCATTCTTGTTTATGTTGAGCGCGAAGCGACTTTGCTCGCCGCTAGAATGTAAATCTTGTGGCCAAGCATCCAGATCACCCATTCTCGCCCAAGCCCCTTGTTCGTCTGCGGCAAGCATCGTGTCTACCATAAACTTCATCAAGTTCTAGGTTTGCTAGGGCATAACGCTTAAAAAAAAAAAAAATCTTTCGCCAGTGCATGGCTCTTTGCTACCAAACGGCCGGAGATCGGCATACCTACCCCGAGGCCATACTAACGAGGTATACACAAAACGTGATGCAGGAAAAAAAAGGGCTTAGAAGACACGGGGCTAAGTATGCTTCATCCCTTTATCAAGGTTCGGAACTTGGGTGCGCCCTGACCGAGCTGGACGCCCGTTATTTGTGGATGCTAGCCGACGTGCGTGTCATAAAGGGACACCACCTGGAGACCTCTCCTAGGGCTGCTGATCGTGGTCCTGGGCGGGCTGTTACAGGTCCCAGAGATTAGAATTATTAGTGCGGTAGGATAGCCCCTATTATAATAGGAATAAGGAATACATTTACGCTTCCTTGTCCCCCCCAGGTCCCGGAACCCCTTTGTGGATCCAGCACAGGTCGCGGTATTCTGGCCGACAACGTCCGCGCTGCGGCCACATTGACCAGACCGTCCGCCAAACCTGAGCTGTCAACCAACGCCGGCGGAGCACTGGTATCGTCAGACTTCCTCATTCCCGTCGTAGCAGACAACGCTGAGCGTAGTGTGTGCGGGCCCCTCCTGCGCGCTTGCACTACGGCCCGGCGGAGGCTGCGCGCGGCGGGCCGCGTGGAAAACGGGACGCTGCCGACTGAACCAACTGTCATCGTCGACTCAGCCCCAAGCGATGGCGCAGCTTGACTACTCCGACACGGGCCCGACGCTCGGGCCGGTATCACAGCATCTCGGGCCGAGATTTCACCCCTCACTTATCGAAGGTGAGCTCCCGGGTCCTGGCAGAGTAGGGAGTCCTCCTGAATATAACACCAGAGGGCCGGAGGCACTTTGGCAGACTTCATATAGATCCGAGATAAATCAAGTCTACAGGTCTACCCACCTTGCTCTCTTCTTTGCAATGAGGGCCACTTGGAGGTGTTTTTGATCGGGCACTAGCTGCCTAGAATCCTGTCATCAAAGCCGTTTGGTCCATCATCCGCGTTTTTACAGTCATAGCTGAAAAGAAAGGTAAGTCTCGGACCGTTACCAACACGAAAAAAAAAGAAAAAAAAACGATCGACGGTCTCCTACCTACATAGGTTTCATTGGAAGGACCATACGTATCTCACTGTTGATAATAAAGCATAAATCAACCCGTGTGAATCGCACGACGCCACCGCCTGGCCGAACTTCGGCGTTCCTCCAAGGGAGCCTTGGGCTCATCGCGTCTCGGGCTCTCAGGCCGCGAGGAAATGAAAGAGAAGGGCCCCTCGTCTGGCCCGCTGCCCATCACCTTCCACGTGTGCCCCGCCGGATGTGTCTTGTCGGCGGTCCAGCGACACTTGAAGCAGAAGTCGAAGTCGTCGCAGGCCTCGCATTTGAACCGGACGCCTTTAATATCCTGTTCGGCAAAGGTAGAGGCGTCAGCAGGGGTACTTCCTGACAAAGGGAAGAAGCAGCCACTGTAAGAGGGGCCATCGCTTACAAAACGGCACCCGTCGCACCCCACCCCCGGATGGCCCTCGCCCTCCGTGATATTTCGCACGGGCGGCGATATTTTTTTGCCCTTCCCCCCTCCCGTACCATCCACATCACCTGCATCGAGTTTTGACTCCTCACCGTCATCGGCGTCCCTCTTGCTAACTGCGGCTGCAGCATCTGGGACGTCTTCAGCTGGGAACAACTCCCCAAGCTTGCCCCAGGATCCGTGAAACTGAGCAATTAGCTTGGGCGTCCATCCCCGCGCGCAGGGGCGGTGCGGATCGGCCGAGAGGGTCAGCAGCTCGCGCACCACCTCATATCCTTCTTCGCTCTTGCACGCCCAGTGCAAAGGCGTCCAGCGGTCGAGATCCGGCACGTTGAGGTCACCATGAGCCTCAGCGGCCTGGAGTGCCGCGTCACCGTCGTCGCGTGGTGGCGTCTCTTTGCCGTCCTCAGCCGTATTGACAAATGCCGCTCTCTCTCCCCCTTCGACGGGCGCCGTCTCCTCATCGCCGGTATCGTTTTCGCCACGGGACACTTCTTCTTTCTCTGGGCTGCTGCTCTTCTCGTCTAGCGTCTCCCGCTCGCGTCCAAAGAGCTCCCGGAATTGGTCGATTCCTAGGGACCGCATGCACAGGTGCATGGCAGTGCGGCCTTGGCGGTCCCTTTTTGCAAACTCGCAAGCGGCCGTGTCGCGCAGGAACCTCAAGACCTTCGGGTGGCACCAGCGGGCCGCGTGGTGGACAGGGGCGAAACCCATGTCGTCACAGGCGTTGATGTCGACGTCCTTGCCGTGCTCTACGAAGACCCGAAGCATTTGAACGTTGTTGCGCACCACGACCCGCTCTACTGCCGTGTAGCCGTCGTAACTGCGCTCCATAATCGGCGCGCCAGCCTTGACGAACCGCGCCACGACCCCGGGGCTGAGAGCGAATTCCAGAGCAAATTGGAGCGGCGTCTGACCCTTCGAGTTGCCTGGCACGTCTACTTTGGCGTTATGGTCGAGGAGCATGTTGACAAGGGCGCCCTTATTGATCCTCCCGCACACTATGGCCATGAACAGCGGAGTGTCGCCGTCCTGGTCGCGGGTATTGGGGTTTGCACCACTTTCCAGTAACAACCTAGTTGTCTCGACGCTCTCATGTAATACAGCGTATGCCAGTGCCGTGCACCGCCAACGATTCTCAAGGTCAATGTTTGCCTTGGATTCCAAGAGGTGCTGGACCGCCTTGTTGTGTCCTTGCCTGGCCGCTTCGTGGAGAGGCGTGTTCCCACGGTCGTTCACTGCATTTGCATTTGCTCCGTGCTGCAGCAAAAACAGGAGAGCTTCGTCCCACCCAATCCCGGCGGCGGCGTGGAGAGGCGTGAGGCCGTACTTGTCTCTGGTCTCAATTTCGGCGCCGGCCGAGACGAGTGCTTCGACAATGGTGAAGTGCTTCCCGTCGACGGCTGAGCGTAGCGGTGTCCGGCCGTTGCCAACCTGCGTGTCCGGGTCCGCTTTGCTGGCGAGCAACGCCTTCACAGCAGTCAGATGGCCACTTTCCGCGGCAAGATGCAGGGCCGTGTAGTTCTCATTGTCCTTGCTGTCAGGATCTACCCGCCGAGCCAGCAGGGCTTGCAGAACAGACGCGTGGCCGTTGGCCGCAGCAAGGTGCAGAGGCGTCCGGCCACCGCTGTCCTTCTCTGAGAGGAGCGCACGCGCGTCCGCAAGCATCACCATACAGTTCAATCGGCCGAATGCAGCGGCGGCGTGGACTGCGGTTGACTCGTATTCGTTCTTTGCATTCACGTCCACCACCGATTCCTGCTGCTCGTCGGCCGTGTTGTCGGTAGTGGCCAGACTTGGTCTTCGGTCGCCGATATTATCGCTATTGTTGGCCTTTCTCAACTTGTTGTGGCTGAGGAGAGTCTCCACAACACCAGTCCGATCTTCGAATACACTTAGGTGTAGTGCAGTGTACTTCCTCCTCGTTCGGAGATTCACCTTTGCCTGTTTGGATATCAAGCACTTGGCGATCTCGGGGTTGCCCCCGTGGGCTGCCCAGTGAAGTGCCGACCAGCTGCCGTCCTCTTCTGCATCAACTTCAGGCGCGGGTTCGAAGTCGACTTGCCTATTGGGATCAAAACCGCTCTCGAGAAGCCGTTGCACAATGCTTAGCGATCCTTTCCTCGTGGCGTCGACGAGCGGCGATGAATCACCACAGTCGAGGTGGTGTGCGTCGGGCCCTTTATCAAGCAGCTTCGCCACGACTTCGACATATCCAGCCTGGATTGCAAGTTGCAACGCGCTGCCTCCGTACGGTGTGTCCGTAGGAATGCTTATGCTGCTGTGCTGTAGCAACATCCCAGCTATCTCTTCCTGGTTGTTCACTAGGGCGACAAGCAAAGGAGTGACGCTGGCCTCGTCGGCGCCGCGCCAATTGACGTCCGCTCCGCGATCCAGCAGAAGCGTTACGAGTTTTGCATAGCCATACTTGACTGCCAGGTGCAGTGATGAATCCTGGGGGATCTCAGCCTTGTCCTGCAAGTCAAGGATCTTCTCTACTAGAGCGTAATCCCCACACTTGACGGCCAGTTCCAACGAGCTTGGCAGACCCGTAGCCTGGCGATCGACAGGATCTGAATGGCCGAGAAGGTACCGAGACAGGTAAATATGACCACCTTCCAGGCTGTGGTAAAGGGCGGTACGGGACGTGCTGTCGGTTGCGTTGGGGTCCGCTCCCTTGCCAAGGAGAAATTCGACGACCTTTAGATGCCCCTGAGCAGCGGCGTAATGCAGCGGAGTCTTTCCTTCAAACGGAATGTCGGCTCGAGCGCCCGCTGCGATCAACTGTGTGACAACGCTGTGGTGACCATTCTTCGCGGCTAGGCACAGGAGCTTTGCCGGGAACAGTCCTTCTTCCGCTGTAGCCGGTGTCTCTGAACTAGTCGGCTCTTCTGATGTGTCATGTCCTTCCGATGTAACTTGTTCAAGAGCCTGGATGAGAATGCGACAAACCTCGTCGCTGCCCCTCTTGCAGGGCTCCTCCAGGGCGTCCAAGATGGGGCCTGACTTTTTGGCTCTGACTGCCGTGTCGACTAGCTGCCTTACAATGCCAGGATAGCCTTTCCGGCTGGCTATTCGGAGGGTGTAGATGGTTGCCTGATATGATTCCGGCCGCTCTTGCGCCAGAAGTAGCTCGACAATGTTGGAGAGGCCAAACTGCGTAGCAAAGTGGACGGGCTCGACCAAATCGCTCAGATACTCCGATCGCAGGTTACCGTATTGCTGGTCGAGCCGTTCCAGGAGCGCCATGTAGGATTCGTTCTTCAGGAGGTCCACGACAAGTGTCTGGAGAGTCCTGTATGTTTCGTAGCCCGCGAGACCTACGGCAAGCGCGATACCGGCCATCGGATTAGAACCTGGCTTCGGCTCAATTTGTTCAACAGCACGACGGTAATGGATGTGCCAGTGCTGAACGGCGTACTCGAGAAAGTCGTACTTGATTCCGTCGAGATTGAGGCGTCTGTCGGCGCCCCTGCCATTCTCCGGCTCTCGGTCCTTGGCCTCACTCTCGGCCGCAACAAGGAACCGGAGGGTGCTGTGAAGATAGGCTAGACACGAGTGTGTCAGTTTCAAGTTGCCTACCTCTGGCGACTCCTTCCCCATCAGTTCTGGGAGGTCATGTTGACCAAAGTGGGCGTGAGAGATGCGAACCTCGCCGAGCTCGATATCCACTAATGGGCCGAGCTCGCGGACCAGATCGTCATCTATTTGGCGTGGGATGACGCTGTCGTCTATGCCAAGCCTCAAGATGGACTCTGGCCCTGCTGCGAGTACCGCTGTGGCCACTGAGAGCTCCTTGAGCTTGAGCGGCCGCAAGGCGAACACCATCCATGCCAGTGAGTGGAGGACCCAGGACGGCGGCGAGCCTAGTATCTTCTGAATGAGATCGGGGAGGCTACAATCTAGAGACGACAGAGATTCCAAGATATGCTGCGGTGAGGAATAGCAGCTGAGGCGGTCGAGCCTGTCCATGACGAGCTCCGCATGGGGGAAACCATCCACGTTCGCAAGCTGCTTGCTGATGATCGACTCAACTGTCGCAAACTTGGGGTTGCTGGCAATCAAGCGCTCGATTTTGGACCCCAGATAACGTTCAAAGTTGACCCTATATCCTTCGCACCTATCCAGATCAATTGCCGCGACATGATGGGTTGGACTCGGCTCGTTTCCGCCATGGGATCTAATGGGATCCAAACTCTCTAGCTTGTCGTGGGCTTGTCCCTTGACCATCGAAGCAGCCGGGTAGATATCGGCCACCGACGTGCTAGCGGCCGTGCACAGCATTCGCACGTTAAAGTCCATTACACACTGCAGGAGATTCTTCAGGAAGATGGGCCGCCTTGTCGTTTGGCAGTCGTCGATGGCGTCGATGATGAACAACAGGTCTTTGCCATCGAGGAGGCGGATGACCGTCCGTAACTGTATCCAGAGGTCTTCTTCGGTCCACTGAGACGTGTCACTCGAGCTACCGCCGACCGGTAACCTGGAGAACACCGAGGGCGTCCTTGCAAGAAGTTGCCTGATGATCTTCATCAACATCGAAGAGACCGTATTCCGCCGGCAGTCTCGCTTGTCGAAAGAGAAGTATGCCACCGTCCGCGATGCGTTGTAGTCTCTCGTGAGATGCTTGAAGATCGAGTACGACAGTCTGCTTTTGCCGACACCTCTTCCGCCACTGAGAACTAGTATCGGGGCTTCGTCGCCCATGATCCAGCTGAGGTATACGTCGTGCTTGGTGATCCACTCGTCGCCTTCTCCAGCTCGCAACTTGAACGGCGTGATGGGGCTAAGTCGGGCGAACAGTTTCAAGAGCTTCTTGTGCTCCGGAGACACTACTTCCTTCGTTAGAATGTGGGAGGGGGCCCTGACGGTCCGGAGAATGGGCTGCTCACTTTCCACAGCGCTCACAAGCGCGTTCGCAATCTCCTCCGCCTGCCTATCGCCTTCATGGAATCTTGCGAGTCTCGCAAAATCAACCTTTCTCTGGACCAGAATCTCGTGAGAAACCCCCAGCGTTGCGTAGGTGTAGGGCACGACCTAGGTGAGAATGTCAGCATATGATATAAAACCGGCTATCCTTCATCCAGATATGGAGCCGGCATCGCGACTTACAGGCCATGAGCCTCCTCCCTTATCTTCTTCGATGATGCTGACCATTGCGTTCCGCAAGGCGATATCCATGAAATCGCTCGAGTTTTGCATGAGAAACTGAGTGAGCGAGGGAATGGTGGTGCAAATATCCCGTGGAATCTTCCTCCAAAGTGTTGTGACAAGCCCAGAGATGGCGTCGATCCATAGTGACGAGCCAGAAGCTTGCTGTGGGGTTCCGACGAAGATCTTGACGGCGCCTGAGGTATTAGCGAGGCACGGAAAGTGGCAGATTGCATTAATACGGAACATACGCATGCACATGTATCTTCAGTGATTCTCCGGTACTTGTCGCTCCGCTCCGCTTTGACAAACGCCTGGATTTCACACGAGGTTAGTCTTGTTGGCCAGCTATCTCAACGAGGTCAACAGACGAGCCCTACCGTCTTGAGTAGGATACCCCCTACGTCCAGGCCGATGAACAAGATGGGACGACCCTGGCCAAGTCAGTCACCACATTCAAGCGGGCTGCGGTGGGATTGTATGGACTCACGTCCGCCTTCTCGGTTACAAAGTCAAGGAGCTTGGTAGCCTGATCCTCAAAGGCCTCCTTGGATAGGGCTCCCGGGACATCTGGTCTGAATACGGAAGGAAAGTCATGCTGGCTAGAGTCAAGAAATTTTCTCTGAAGCGGACCAGAATCTTCCCATAGAAGCTTTAAGTCGGTATCATCGTCGAGGCCCCCGCTGGCGTTATCTTGGGAGGAGGGGTCTTCCAGGCCGTGAACTACAAAGATGCTGGCATCGAGGTGAGCTTCTTGTGAATTCTGACTGTGAAGGGCGCAATCTTACTTGATTTGCATCTTGCCAACACCATTCCGAATCCTGCTGAGATGGAGCTCGGGCGGCGAGGAGAGGGATGGACGACACACGCGCCGCTGCCGAGTATCGCTTTGCCGAAGTGGTGATAACCGCCGGCCACGCCTCCGATGACGGAATCAGTCGATCCCGGCGAGTACTTGTCGGAGGGAAAGAATACGCGGTTAGACATCAGCTTTTGGCCTGCTGCAAGCGGATGCAGACTTCGAAAGTCGCAACACACGGGCCACGCCGCATCGTTTGACGAGGAGGGGTTTGTGCCCAGTCGGGCCTGCGCGTAGTTGGTGACACAGCCTTGGATTGGTATCGACCCCGCTCCTCCCGCACCTATCGGCCACTTGGTCGCTTATCCGGCCTTCTGTTAGGTCAGTCGCCGGCGCCCCCGGCAGCCACAAAACCGTCTTGCCCCAATGGATGTGCACCTTTGTGGTTTGATTTGCCCGAACCCCCGCTCCTTTCCACCCTGATACATACTTGGAGACCGTGCCTTGGGGAAGGAGCCTGCCATCTTTAGCTTCCCCTCTTACCCCCCTCTCCTCCAGTTTTTCCACCTCTAGGACAACCCCAGCTCTGCAATATTGATCAGCTTGCTTGCCACAGCGTTTAGAATCACGGTCTCGGCGTCAGCAAGGTGGGCGCGCGGCTTGCTCGGCTCGTCGAAAATCCTCCACACGTGCAGGTACTTGGTAGGCTTAGCCAGGAAGTCGAGTATCCTCTTGATCTGCGTGTGCGTGCGGAGCCTGTCCTTCCTCGCAGCGCCTTTTGTGGCGCTGACGCTCTGCAGTATCACCGCCGCCAGCCCTGCTATACGCGCTGTGGCAATCGACGAACCCATCAGCAGTTCCGGCGTCGCTCCGGCCGGGACCCTGGCCGCCGTCGCGAGTTCCTTGACGGATTCCACCCCTGGCGCAATGTAGTTGACCAGGTTGTGCACGGCTGAGTCCTCGCGGCCCCAGGCCGTGGCTGCGCCGATGTAGAAGGAGCTATTGCGAGCGAGGCGCGCCGGGTAGGGCTGCTCGGTGCTTTTGTTGCCCTGGTCGTCGGACGCGCAGAAGAGCAGGATGTTATCTTTGGCGGCCGCCTCCATGGCGTCGCGCAGCGCATTCTCGCCCTCGCCGGGGCTCTCAATGGACCAGCTCATGGAGATGATATCGACGCCCTTGCTGACGGCCCATTCGATGGCGGCGGCGGCCGAGTCGGCCGTGATCTGTTCCGCCGAGTTGACCCATTCCTCGTTAAGCTTGGCCACGTAGAGCTTGACCTTGGGGCAGATCTGACAAATGATGGAGGCCATGAGCGTGCCATGACCATGCGACGACTGGTAGAAGCCCTGCCAGTGGCCGTTGTTGTTGTAGAAGGTTTCGCCCTCGACAATGTTGTTGCGCACGTCTGGGTGGTCGATGTTGACGCCGTCGTCGAGAACCGCCACCTTGATTTCACAGGTCTCCTCTAGCTTGTTATTCCGGAAATAGACCTTTAGGAAGTTGGCGAAGCTCTCCATGCAGTTGAGCCACTTCTCCCTAGATATGAGCGTCAGCAAAGTCGATCTGGCTGTGCCGAGCCTTGTTGGGATGGCACCTACTTGCGTTCCCTCCCCGCCCTTTCGGCCTCTGCTAGTGCCTTGGCAACGACTTTTTTGGTCTGGTCCGACCGGAAATCGACAGATGGCGGCGGTCGAGCGTGATTAGACACCTTCTTCCAGGCCTTGTCAAAGCCGTCCTTGAAGTTCTTTATGTTTTCCTCTGTTCTCTGAACCGATTCAATCGTCTGCCGCAGATTCACGTCAGAACCACTGCTGTCTTCGTCAAGTTCTTGTCTAGATTTGTCGTTTCTCACCCTTTGTCTGATGATGGTGACTGTTCGCAACTATAGGTAGTCATGTCAGCTCCATTCAAGGGCAGTCCAGGGTAAGGATCGAAGACTGAGGGGCGCAATTACCTGCTCGAGCTGTGGCAGTCCACCCTCAGCAGCCCAGCTCCGCAGGATAGCGTTGTTCCCGCTCCAGTACAGCGTAACGTCCCGCACACCGGGGGCGGCTTCTTTAATCACCTGGCTGCACATGTCCGATCGCATCCAGTTCCAGGACTCGACCTTGAAGCCCCTGAGCGCAAACTCAATAGCTTCGTCGCTATGGAAGTTGTGATCGTCATCTTCGACAACAATTTTGAGGATCCGCTTTACGCCAATGGCCTTGGACCTCAGCCAGTCGAATATATAGACGTAGTCCTTGCGGTTGCTGGACCACCACCCCTGCGCCCCCTCGTTGGGGTCGATAGGAAGTTCCATGCCGATGACCCGCAGGTCCGGAATCGAGACGTATTGGAGCGTGTCCTCGAAGTGAGTAATCCCTGCAAGGGCTTCGAGGAGATCTTTGGAAACCTCTCGCCGCGGGTTCAAGTCAAAATGGATCTGCCCCTAAATCGTACGAAGGCTTCGTTAGAGTACGGCTGTATTCTCGGGTAGACGTCGGGCTTCAATGAACTACTGCTTACCACATTGGATGGGAGAAGTTCTTTGATGATCTCACGTCTATCGCCGAAGTACCTCATGCAGCTGAGCTTCAGCAACGATTCGACCGCTTCAGCGACGTCTTTGAGCTCGCCAGCATTAGCCTTGGTAGCCGGCTTGGTTCTAGTTCGACGGTTCAAGGCCCCTCTCGCCCTGTTCTGCGGATCGGCTTGTACCGCCTCTCGTGCTCGAGTTTCTAGGAAGTGCTGAAACGGCGAGGAAGACAAGCCTTTTCGTCGAAATGCTTTGTCAATGCCCCTCCTGCTGTAGTGGTTGTGAAGCGGTTTGCGGGCGTGCGGAGGCTCGGCTTCAACTTCCTCCTCGAAGCGCGTGCCGCTCACCAGCGCGTCAGGGTAAGCCTCGATCAGTTCTTCGACCAACTCGTGCTGATTCGGAGTCAAGAACTCGGAGCTCACGGCGACGTGCAGTGGCGTCAGTTTATCTTGGCCGTGGTGGCTGAGAACCAGCTTTGCAGCGCCGTTCAGCTTCACCCTCTCGATGAGATACTTGGCGTAGTTTGTACGCCGAAGCTTGATGGCTTTGTGCAGCCACGTGTCTTGCCCCCCCTCGAGAAGATGTTTCCACATGAAAGGCTCTTGCACGTCCTGTTCGAAAACGCACGAGGGTGCGACGGCCAGGCTAATGGTCGCAATGGGTGCTTCGAGGTCGCTATGGGCTATGCCCGCATGCCCCTCCGTTCCGAGCGTTACTGCAATAGCAGCCTTATCCAGGCCCTCTTTGCAGAGCTGCTCGAGCAGCTCCATGCAGTCCTGATCGCTGTCTACGATTAGATCCAAAACATTCCCACCTGTTTCGGTGCCATCGCTCAGAAGAGCGGGCTCCTTCTCCAGAAGCCACGTAATCAGCGATTTTGCGGCCGCGTTGTATGATAAGGCCGATTCTGGATCCGCAATCTCCGTGACAACTTTTTGCAGGATGCTTTTCTGGCCGGCATCCAGTTCGAATGTGTCCCGCTCGCTGAGAATTTTCTCGCTGACTTCCGTGCCCAGCCTCAGCTGTATTAAAATGGCTTCGTGGTGTTTCTGTACTGCGTCCGCTTCCTCTGCGTTGCTACCGTTTGCCGGTGTCTTGGGCGTGTTCATTCCACCAAAAGCTGTGGTGTGAACAGCGATCCCACCCCCTTCCTCATGCCTTGCCTTCTTGATGTCTTTTTCACCCATCGCCGACGTCGAGAGGTTCCACGGTAGAGTGGTCTGGATTTGAGTGATGATGGAAGATTAGAGACCCTGGCAGGTGTCTTTGTCCAGAGACTGGGGATGACGATGGCAGCTTTCAGCTCAGCCCGGCGGCCAAGTCGTTGGGGTCGGGATGGGCTTGCATTTGTGGGTCGCCCACGCAGCCTTTCGCTCGGCAATAATTGCCCCTCCAAGCTGGCCCCCCTCCAAGCTGCCGCGGTGGCTTTCTTGGGCACTGCCTTGGGCAAATATGAAGAACGGCTGGCGCTACGTAATGGAGGGGGCCCTCGGAATTTGAGATACAGGTATGCCGGCACCCTCCAAGGGAATCACGCACGAAGACTCCACCGGACTTCAGCGGGCACGACAGTTGACCTCAGCATTGACGCAACCATGGACTCGGACGACCCCTATGCTCCTCTCGTTCTCGACCTCGACGGCGAGGGATCCGGCGGGTTTTATCGGGTCCGAAACCGCCCGGATGAACTCAACAGAGGCGCCGCCATCAACCGCGGCGAGAAATTCCAGGTGGTGGCCGACATTGTCGAAGTTACACATGGCTCGCTGAGCATGGAGCCCAACGGCACCGCTGGCGTCCCCGGCGTCCTCATTGTGGCCGATTTCCAGTTTGTTCCGAAACAGGGCCGGCGCTACAAGGGCGCGACCATCAAGTTCACCTTCACTAGCGATGATCCCTTGGTGGAGGTCTCGGTCGAGAGGATCGGCCCCTCCGGCCGCTGGTCCAAGTATCCGACGACACGCAACGATGCCTCCTCGTGGAAGCTCAGCCCTAGTGTCGGAGCCGCGGGGGTCGACGTAAGCCTTGGGGATGTATCCAATGCCAAGGAACAGACAAAGACCTTCCACACGTTTGTGACCGGCACCATCAGAATGGAGACGCGCGACGAGGGCGGCAAGGACACGGCCCAGTGGGTGCTCGAAGAGAACGAGGCGCAGAAAACCGGCATTGCGAGATTCTTCCGCGTGGCCATCTTGGCGAAGCTGGACGTCTCGCCAGAGAGGAAGACGCCCGAGCCACCTCAGTTCCAAGCAACGGTCGAAGCTATCACTACCGTTCCCTTCATGTCTCGGGGTTGGGCGGAAGAGAAGATTGAGGTCGTTCGGAAGAAGGTGCCCGTGGATGATCCGATCAAGTTCAAGTGTGGTGTCAATCGTGAGAGCGGGCTGTTCAAGTTTGACAAGAAGAGTCTGCGCGGCGAGGACCTGACCAAGATCATGGCCATGAACCTCTACCACAGCTTTGAGGATTTGAATAAGGCAACGCGGGAGTCGGGGTCAGGGCTATGAGCGCGTGGCCATGGTCCCACCGATCACTACGCGCGCACGGGGCCAGCCCTCGAGTCATGTATATCCAGGCATCGCCCTTAGATACCTAGGTAGCTCCTACCAACAGTTGGAGAGAAATGACAGATCTTTGAAGAGGAGATGGCTGACTTTAAGTATACGCCCACGTCAACAAAGGCAGTCGTCGTACTTCACGGAGGGCTGGCCCCTCGACCTCAGCTCAGCATGGCCTGCTGCATTTTTTCAGAAGCTCGAGCTCCTCCGGCTGCCAAGCGGCTCACTCGCCGCCGCCACCAGCTCCGGGCGCTTTTAGAGCAGCCGCCGGACCTTGCGGTCCCCAAGGCGGGGCCGCGGCCGGAGGAGGCACTCCGCCAGGCTCTCGTCCTGATGCCGCATCGCCATGTAGTAGGGCGTGGCGACACCGCCGACGCCACCGCCCGGGGGCCTCGCCTCGACGGAGAGGTCGGCGCCGGAGTCGAGCAGCAGTTTGACAGCCTAGCAGAATCCGCCCTCGACGGCGCGGTGGAGCGGGGTCTTGGACCGGGGGCCGGGCACGTTGACGACCTCCTCGCCGCCGGCGCCTAGGAGGCTAGGATAGGGTCCTTTATGGTCATCCTATTTCGAAGATAGAAGCCATGTCCGAAGTGGAGGGAGAGGCGGGGGATATAGCCGAAATCCGACCCGGGCCCGGCTATTCTCTTCAAGCACCTCGCCGTTTCAGGTCGTGTAGCTCGGGGAACTCCCTCTTGAAGTGCAGGCGGACTTGGCAGGTTGCCACCTATAAAGCGGAAAGAGTTTGATGAGGAAAAGGAAAAAGAGGAACCAAAAAAAACATACAACACCGAGGATTCCCAGTGGCCACCCACCTGAATACTAGTTCGGCCCTCATATGTTTTGGTACATGGAGATTTTGAGAGCAAATGGGATCCCAGGCCTTCACTGGTTTGGCTAGGGAAGAACGGACGGGATCCTGTATATTCCGGTGGGTATGGTCGTATATATTTATTTTGGCATGCCACGCGATTCGAGACCCAGCTGGCGGGGAAAGCGGGGCCATTCATGTGCGTGTTTGTATAAATGAGAAACAAATAGGCATCAGAACCAGGAAGTAAATAACATGGAAATTTTAAACCAAATCCAAACCCTCCTTCCGTCCTCGTTTCCGATATTCAACAAGAGGAACCGAAACGTAGTAACGCAGAAAGTCAACCCGGAATTCATGCCAACAAATCAGCCCACTGGATAAAAAGCAAATGTCAGCATATTGTCCTCGACAAATCCACACACTCACTCATCGCATGGACTCACGTGATCGGGCGAGTTGGTAATCTCCTCAAACGCCTGCAGCGCCTCAAAGTTCATGGCGAGCAGGGGCTCGTACAACTCGTCCTGGACCCAGCTGAGCACGCTGCGCGACGAGCGGTGCGCCTTGTTCTGCCGGACGCCCATGAGCGCGAGCCCCTGCAGCACGAGCGCGGCCTGCCCGCCGTGGTGGTGGTGGCTGTGGGCCAGGACGGGCGCGACGATGCCGCCGACCGACTCGGGGGCAGAACTCCCGGACCTCTGGGCCCCCGTCCGGCCCGGGCCGGCGGCGGCCAGGGCGGGCAGGTAGGTGGCCAGGGCGCTGCCCGGGCTGCAGATGACGACGGTCCCGAGGATGGCGTCGGCGGCGCCCTTTGCGCGCACGACGCCGCACGTCTTGGTCTCGTGTAGGGCGAGGCGGTAGAGCTCGCACACGTCGGCGCCGGCGTGCGCCTGCACGTGCGCCAGCACCGACTCGGCGTTCTCGTGGCCGTGGATCAGGTCGAAGCTGATGCTGGCGCGCTGGATGCTGGCGAGGAGACCCTCGGGCGCCGCCCACGACGCCAGGTCCGCGATGGCCATGTTGGTCAGTCGCTTGGGGAACTGCACGTCCCAACCGCTGCCAGCGAACCAGGCCCTGGTCCCGGCCCCGTCCCCATCCACGGGGATGCCGGGGAAGACGCCCGGGAGCGAGGTGCCGAGCTGGATCCTGCCCACGCCTCGCTTCACCAGCTCGCGCAACGCCCCGCGCTGGAGTGACCTGCCGATCGAGACGTTGCGCTTGGCCGGGTCCACGAAGATGGCGCCGATGATGCCGACGCCGCCCTGCGTGACGTAGGTAGCGCAGAAGCCGTACAACGCCTGCGTGCTGCTGTTGCGCACCACAAAGTGCGACTCCTGGATGCGCGGGTTCGACAGCTCGAAGGTCGCCGACGTCGTCTTTTCGAGGTAGCGCATGTTGGGCGTGCTGGCCCGCGCCGTCGCCTGGATGAGCGTGTCCAGCTCCGCGCCGTCCCTGTCGTGGTCGTAGTTCTCGACGAGCCACCGCTGCCGCGACTTGACAACCTTTTTGCTCTTCCGCAAAGTCCCAGGGAATGTGCCGTGCGGTGGGAACTCGCCCATGAGAGCTCGGACGAGCGCGTTCATGCCCGTCTCGGTAAAATCGTACGTGCAGATATATGTGCCCACCGTCTTGTCCATCGCAAAGTCGTAGGGCGAGCTTACCGCCACGACTATCAGCGACTTCTTCTGGCCCGTGGCTCGCAGCATGGCGCAAAGCGTCGACACGTGCTTGGTGAAGCCGGCCTGGTAAAGATTCCTGTTGGCGTCGGCCGTGACTATTATGATGGAAGATGCTCTGTTTATGAGATTCTCATGAACTGTGTATCTGTTAGCCGAAGGTCTGAATGGCGGGGACGGCCCTCCAGTCGCCCAGCTCCAACGGCGCGGCGTGGCCAAGTTGGTGGAACTGGCATCGCAGAATACAACTGACCTGGTCTAAGCCCATTTGCGGTGTACGACGTGTGCAGCAGTTTCCCGAGGCGTCCTCGCGCGAGAGATCTCCCCAGCTCTCTAAAGACTCCCTCCCCGGTCATTATGGCGCCTCTTTCTTTTTGATGAATCCACTTGTCATGGTCGTTAGGGGCCACTTCCTGCATATTCTTGGACTTGAGAAGCGCCTTGGAAGCGGCAGATGCTGGAAGCGGCTTCACCAGAGGCGTCAGCAGGAGAAGCTCCTCGTCCCGGTGCATCGACTCGTTCAGGGGAAGGAGTTTGTCCTTGTCTCGCATGACCGTGATGGAGTCGTCATACGCTTGCCTCGACAGGGCCAGGTGCGAGGGGTGGATTTTCGTCAAGAGTGAGAGGCCAGGGGGGTTGAGGGCCTTAGCCCAAGACGTGCACGACTTTTTCAGCCGTAACACGCGGTGGAGAGAGGTGAATATCCTGTCTTTTGTGAGTATTCCATTTTCGATGCCGAGCTTCAGGCCCGCAATGGCCTCCAGCTGGACGTCATAGGCGCGGCAGAGCAGTATCAGATCGCACCCTGCCTCGACCGCCATGACGGTCCCGCCCTTGACTCCTATCTCGTGGCTCAGCGCCTCCATCTCCAGGCACTCAGAGATTGCGACGCCAGAGAAACCCAGCTCATTCCTGAGCAGGTCATCAACGACCTGGTCCGAGAGGCAGGCGTGCATGACGTTCATGGAAGGGTTCGTGATGCCACACCCGCCGACAAAGATGGCGTCGAGGCGGCCAGTGGCGATGGCATTCCTGAACGGGACCAGTGCACTGAGGCTCAACTCCTCGAGAGTCTGGGTGATTATGGGGATGTCTAGGCTGGAGCCTAGAAACTCCAGGGAGCCGTACGAGGGGAAGTGCTTGCCGCACGTGGCCATACCGGCGTCCTTGTAGCCGTTCATGGACGCGATGCCGTACTGGGAAACCTCCTGAGGGTCATCGCTCGTCGCTCTGACGCCCAGGGGCTGGTAACGGGCGTTTGTGAGGACATCCAGGACGGGCCCAAGGATCAGATTGACTCCGACAGCTGAAACCTCGGTCGCGGTAGCCTTGGCGATGTTGTAGGCCAGTTCGGGGCTTCCGGCAGCGGCCACGCCCATGGCGCTGGGGAACTGGCAGATGTAGTCCTCGTCGAACAGACTGTTGACGCCGCCATTTTCCTGGTCTAGGGCTATCAGAAGCGGGAAAGGATGGCCGGCCTGGTGCGCGATGGTCTGCAGTTCCTGAACCAGCTTTGAGGTCTCATGAGCAGCTGGATAGGAGACGCAGTGAGGTCAGCTGTAGCACACTAAACACACACGCGTATGCTGCTGGCATCAGGCAACGAGATGGAGACACATCAAAGTGGACGCTTGTCATGGCAGATGAGGACTTTCACGTCACTTCGTGTCAGGTCACGTGCAGGGGAAACGGCGCGACAGACACTTGAGGTTCTTGGCCGTCAGGAGAATGCTGCCGAGATGATGGTTCTCGATCAGGTTACGGATCTGGGGCGTGACCTCGGTGCCATCCCAGCCCATAATCAGCATCTGGCCGATGGCCCTGTGGAGGAGGGGCAGCGGGAAACATGGTCAGCTCTTGGGCGGAGGTGGGATGTGGTCGGGGATGGCTTCATGGGCTTGCCCGTGATCGCTGATGGAGTCAAGAGTTCTGGGTCCTGCTGGCATCCATCAAAGCACCTACGCACGCACCAGTCAAGGTCCTGCCATAGTGGGTCCAAGTCGGCGTCGGCTTCTCGCTTCGTCATGGTCGAGGTCCGTGGTCGGATCTTGTCGGGGGCGGGAGTGGCTGTCTGGAGCGGCTGTCACGTTGTCGCAACCCTTCATGTTACGAGGAGACGTTGCTGGGCTAGGAGACAAGACCAGACTACAGTGTGCTAGGGAGCCACTGTGGTGTGGGTGCTGGTGCTGCAGATGGAGAGCAGGCTCCAGCTGTCAGCAATGTCTCGCCCCTGTGCGATCAGCCCGAGTCTGGGTCTGGAGCGGCGCTTGGAGGCTCGAGCTGGTGGAACGTGCACGTATGGGCCCGCTGATTGGCCCCCACGGCCCCGCACCATCCGTCTTATCGCTGCTAGGAGCCGTAGGGCCGCGTCTCCAGTCAATTGATGGGCTCCATTGAGTCAATTAAAGTCTCCAGCTAGCTCAGTTTGAGCACACCATCACAGTCTGGAGACACAGCCTGGCGACCCAGCCTGGAGACCCCAGTGCCGATTCGGCCTCGATCCGAGACACTGACGACGTTGGCTTCCACCTGGGAAACGTTACATGCCAGATGCCCTTTATGCTCATCCCCATCCAGTCCTGCATGGTGTCCCTGGATGAGATGCCAGGTCCCCATAAACCCGCAGCCAACAGCAGAATCACTGACAGTCCATGTTGACGGCGGCACAGCACCGATTGTCATCTGTCTGGTGGCGTGTGCGTATGGGCTGGAGCAAAGCAACCATTTACTTGTGTTGGTCGCACAGTGCTTCTGCCGACTGTGCGTGTGCAGCCTGCTCGTTTCACCAAACTGCAGCTGTCCGGTGGCTTTTGTTTCTCTTACCTCACTCTTGTCCATGTTGTATGGAATCGGTCTTGCCATTAGTAACACCTGGATGAGCCCGTCCATCCACCTCTCGGCTTGCTTCGGAGCACTGCGATGCCATGACGAGTCGGGCTTCCAGCAGGGTCCCTCCTCGACAAAGATGGGCACGACTCCAGCCTGCATTGTCTGCCTTCATGGATGCCCATTCTTTCATCTACTGCCACCCCCATCCTTTGCAGACAGAAACGATGCCCTTCGTTTTGACCAGAGCCAGTCCGGCCCCGAGGTCCTGCATCAAGTCTGCTTGGAAAATTCCCTTATCTTGGTTTCCTACGCCAACTGAAACCAGAGAAAGAATTCTGGCATTACAAAAGTAACCGCCGCCGCCGGCACTACCAAAGGCCAAGACACCGAAAATGCCTACTGCCATCCCACCGCAGGGTTCTGGGAATGGCATCACCAAGTTCACCAACTGCCGCCTTGTGCTCGGCGACTGCCTTGTCGCCCAAGACCTCTGGGTCAGCTCAGTCACGGGCAAGATCGTGCACCCTCAGGCCGCCTTCTACGATGACTTGATCGTCCCTAGCCATGTCGTCGACCTTGGCGGCCGCATCGTGTCTGCTGGCCTCATCGACATCCAGCTCAACGGCGCGTTTGGTTTCAATTTCTCCACACTCTTTCCCGACATGTCACAGTACAGGAAGAAGGTCAGGCAACTCAACAGGGAGTTGGCGACAACGGGAGTCACATCCTACGTGCCGACGGTCACGAGCCAGACGAGCACGCTCTACCGCAGCGTGCTTCCCTTTCTCGGCCCCCCTGCCGGCCCCCAGCGCGCCGAGGATGGAGCCGAGTCCCTCGGTGCCCATGTCGAGGGCCCCTTCCTCAGCCCGACCAAGAACGGCGTCCACAACGTGGACGTTCTGAGAGAGGCCAGGAGCGTCGAGGACCTTGAGGACATGTACGGCGCGGAAAACCTCAGGCCGGCAGCCTCGGGAAGGCCGCTTCCGATCCGCATGATCACCGCCGCTCCCGAGGTAGGCCGCATGGCGGAGCTGATCCCAGCGCTGCGCGAGCGAGGGGTCATTTACTCGATCGGCCACTCCGAGGCCACGTACGAGCAGGCCTCCACGGCCGTTGCCGCCGGCGCCACCATGATCACGCACCTGTTCAATGCCATGCGTCCGCTGCACCACCGCAACCCCGGCATCTTCGGCGTCCTGGGAATGGCCGAGAGCCTCCCGCGGCCGTACTTTGGCATCATCGCCGACGGAATCCACTTGCACCCAACCACCATCAAAATCGCCTTCAACGCGCACCCCGAAGGCTTCATCCTAGTCACGGATGCGATGCACCTTGTCGGCCTCCCGGACGGAACTTATGACTGGACCAATGGCGACAACTGTAGTAAGATTGTCAAGACCGGCTCCGTTTTGAAACTGGAGGGGTCAGAAACTATTGCTGGAAGGTATGGCTCTGTCACCTTGGCTCTGTCACCTGAACAATTACACTACTCCACACCCGCCGCTTCCAAGACATCCTTGATGCCGACCGTCACTGACGTTGTGGACTGACATTGTGGGCAGCTCCATAACACTCATCGAGTGCGTGTCCAACTTCCTCACATGGAGCGGCTGCACCATCCCCCAGGCCCTGAACGCAGTGACCGCCACGCCCGCGTCCCTCCTGGGGCTGCGGGGGGTAAAGGGCAGCCTGCTGCCCGGGGCCGATGCGGATCTCGTGGTTCTGTCCGAGATCACGCAGCCGGACTCTCGACAGCTTGTTGTTGACGAGGTCTGGAAATTCGGGGCGCGGGTGCACCTCCGAGAAGAATCCTCGTCAGGCTCATCAACCGCCTCGTCTTCATCAAACTCCTACATGTAGGCGATAGGCGCCCCATTTGGGCGAGCCTTTTCTTTTCTATATTGCAACCTCTCATTTGTCTTCAGATTGGCACTGCTAGAATCGAGAACCTCCATAGCCATACATTCCATTCACGGTTTGTTTCCCGATCCCCCGTGCTGCAGTTTTATCGAGTGCTGAGTGCCTAGAAAGTATCGACGACCCACATTCCAAGAGACATCGGAGAAACAAAAGGTGCGCAGCTCGGCCCTTCCTGCTGCCAAGTCCCCGGTCTGCCTCTGCAGTATTACCACTGCGTAAGCCTCCGCTTGGAGCCAATCTCGAGAACGGGTCTCGTTGGCCGACGGTCAGAGATCCCTGTCGTCTCTAACCTGGGCTCTCTAGACAATTCAGCTCCAAGCCTGGTTTCAGGTACGGCTAGAAACCAGTTGTCCCCTCCAGGTGATGGCCACCCCGGCTGCACGAACAATTAGCAACCCGGGTGGCCATCCGTACCCGCGTCGCTTGGGTAAAATCCACTGGTAGGATGCAACACCGGGCGAGGCCCTCGCCACCGAAGCCTAACCGAGCCGAGTTGGAAGTATCTGGCTCGGACTCGTGGGCCCATCCTGTTGACCGGGCTCGCTCTGGACCTTGGTTCGCATCTTGCCACGACATGGTGACTCTGTAATCTAACGTTCCTCGCGAGGAAGCACCATTAATTCGGTTCATGGTTTACGAAAATAGCACATGCAGTATCGCGCTCTGAGGCCTCGCACCATGGAATCGTCAACCACTTCTCGTCTACTTGGAGCGCCGTACCTCGGTCTTCGTCGGTCTCAGCAGGTGATTCGCCATCCACACCCGAGAACACCTTTCATCGGCCGGGCGCTTCGTCATGACAACCTTGGAAGAAGTCAACCTGGATAGGCCCTGATACCACAGCCGTCCGCGCATCACTCCAACTTCCGTTTCTTGGCCTTTCGGGAAAATCACAATAGGTCGGGACAGACGGGCTTGGAAGCCGGCGCCGGCACGGCGCCTCCGCGTGAGAGGCCAAACCCCCCTGGCCATGGAGGTGCGGCTCGAGCTACTGTCGGGCAGATATATACCCGGGGTCAATATGGGTTGGGGAATCCTAGCCTCCCCACATTTCATCCAAGGCCCCGGCTCAACTCTACTCTGGGCTTCCTCGAATCTTTTCCACCAAGGACAGGCCGGGGAGCCGCCAAGAGTGGAAGCGCATATCCCCTTGGCTTGCCACTATTCTCCATATTTCCCGACGCAGCGGCCGCCCGCCGGCACCTGGACGGCAGACGCTGCATGCCGCCGGCTGATTTCACAGAGGCCCACTCGCTTGTTGTTCCTCCCCCAGCACAGCTGCACCAGAGGCTCGGTGACTGGCCCCAGAGCGAATGCGACCCCCGTTGCAACTTCCAGGGCAGATACTCGGCAGTCCAGCTCTATCGCTAGGTGCGGCGGGTCAGGAACAGGCCCTTGGTTGGAGCCCAACCGGACTGCCCAGTCCATTCCGTCAAGCGAGTGCTTGGTCTCCGGGCCGGCACCCAGGTTCAGTAGCGGGTTGGAAGCGGCGTGGGGAAGCCGTGAGGTGCCACCCAGAGGCCGCCGAGGCAGGGCAGAGCTAAAATAGACTTCAGTTCCTGGCGAAGGCGCGCGGCATATGGGCGATGGGCCCCTTACATGACTGCCCCTGGTGAGTGTGGAAGCCCCAGGTTTTCTTTCCGTCGGTCATTTTCCTGATCTGAAAATACCCATACTCGGCCGCTGCAGCCAGCCAGTCTGCCTTCTTCTCTGTCAACCCCTCTGGCGATCGGTCAGATACGACACCATCTATCGCCCCTGTCGGGCAAAGCCGTCGGTTGAGACGTGCAGGAACACCAGCCACATACCTACCCCTCTCTGCATCGTCGATGCGGCTGCGGCCCAGTGCTCGGGCGGCCAGGGCGAATCGCACACCTGCGAACGCTGGGCTTGCTCATCATGGCTTCGCAATTTCTGGTATTAGCCGCGCTATCATCCAAAGGAGCTGGTGCACTCTCTCACGCGCCGGCGAGATATGAATGATCTAATCCCGCACTCAAATGGCGGCATCGCCATCGCGTCCTGCAGAGTCTCGATATTCGGCCACGCGTAAGCAGTCGTCTGTACCACACCCACCATTTTCGAGGACTGCAGTCAAAGGCCGCAAGACAGACTCCCGCTTATACACTGCTTGAAAGCTAGCTAAGGAATACTGACAAGGCCCGACTGCTTAGTCTAAGAGTGAACTACAAGTGATGCTCCCATCACTTCCAATCGCCTACCGAGAGCACACGGGCGCGTGTGGGCTCCCACATTCCGACGGTACTTGGAGCTCGACCCTATATCCGCCCGGAAGGTGCAATATCCATGCCGCCCTGCCCCGAAATACCCAATGCAACAGACTCTATATTCCATATAGCCCTCATGTACCATGCCATCATCTCCAGCTCGCCGCTACCTCCCCGCATCGCCCTCACTTCACCCGGGTCGCTGGCGCCCAGGACAACGGATGCAATGCAGCTTGCCATCGCCCTCTAGAGTGCCTGCAGCCGGGCGGTTCGCTCGCCATCTGTGCAATACATTCAGAACGACGAACCCCTCGTGCCCCGCAAGCCGGTGTGCCACTCCCGCCAGCTTTCGAGGCCGTCCCCCATGCAAACATCGTCTTTATCCATATTGCGTTGCAAGATGCTATCGATCTAGCCCGACCTGGGCGGCCCGCGACGTACGCGTTTTTGGGAGGTCTTGCGAGGTTTTTGCGAGACCGGCAACGGGCATGGGGATGGAAGAGACGCCGATCCGGAGATTTCTACACATCTTCTTTCCTCTTCTTCGATATGACTTGGCCTATATAAAGCCGACGACGGCGCGACAAATGCTCAATCTCAATAGCCCTCTCCTCAGGCCGCTCTGGTGATCTCCTACTCGCCTCCTTCGCCCTTTGTTCCGAGAAGTTCCCAGCTTCTTCTGCTCTCCCCCAACCAGTCAAGTCACACAAGGCACACACGGTCTTACCGGAACTGCCCGCCATGCAGACCCCAAGCTTCCTGCAGCTGGTCCTCACGGGCCTGCTCGCCACCTCCTCGGTCGCCTCGCTGAACCTGCCGGCCGCCAACGGGCCCGCCGGCCTCGTCCGCTATGTCGTATGTTGTTCCCGGCTTCGCTCCGACACGAGGGGTAGCTTGAGTCTGTTGTCGTTGCCACGAGGAGTGACGGCGTCAATCCCCGGATTCTGAACCGCAAACTAACATGCCCTCTCCTCGCGCAGGGAGCTCTGGCCGTCATGGCGGTCCCCGCCGTCTCGAGCCCGGTCGCCGTCTCGGTAGGTAACCCACATGTTCTACGTTCGCCGGTATCTGCCGTGTCGCCGTATCTGCGACCCTTCGGCTGTTCCTTTGCTTGCTGCTCGAATGGCATGCTAACAGCACGACTAGATGAGCGAGGAGCTGGTTGAGCGCGACGAGACTGAGATCGAGGATGCGGACAAGAAGAAGAAGAAGAAGGGGAAGAAGGGAAAGGGAAAGAAGCACGGCAAGGGCAAGCACGGCAAGGGTAAGCCCGGAAAGCCCGGGAAGCCCGAGAAGCCCAGCAAGCCTGAGAAGCCTGAGAAGCCTGAGAAGCCAACCAAGCCTGAGATGCCAACCAAGCCCGAGAAGCCTGAGATGCCTAAGGTGCCAACCAAGCCTGAGATGCCAACCAAGCCCGAGAAGCCTGAGATGCCTAAGATGCCAACCAAGCCTGAGATGCCAACCAAGCCCGACATGCCCAAGGTGCCCGACCCGATCTTCAAGATTGGCGGCCGCGACATCGCCGAGAGGGACGAGGCCACGCCCGAGCCGGCTGCCGACGCCGAGGTCGAGGACGCCGACAAGAAGAAGAAGAAGAAGAAGCACGGCAAGGGAAAGAAGGGCAAGGGCAAGAAGGGCAAGGGCAAGCACGGCAAGGGCAAGCACGGCAAGGGTAAGGGCAAGGGCAAGGGCAAGCCCGAGTAGGCTGAGAAGCCGGACGCCCGTCAAGCCGGCCCCGCCACGACCTCCCGCCGAGCTGCCCGAGTACGGTCAAGCCGTGCTCGAGACCAGCGATCTCGCATCGCGTGCACCTCTTTTTACGGGTGGCTAGTTGGCGTCCTTGGATTAGGAGGGCGGATGCCGGTTTAGGGAGGCGGTTGAGAGTCGCAGAGATGATACAGGCGGACACCAGCAACCTCACATTCTCTCTTTCGATTCTCGGCTTTCGCGGGACTCTTGCTTCCAACATTTCTTTTCTTGCTCGTATTACTTTCACTAGCCCCTTTTATCCGGCTGACAGTCATCACAGACGCTCACTCGTGTGTAAATATCTCCTTAACCTGTAGTCAAAAATCCAACAGTCGATGAGCATATGCCTATTTCCCTGGGGTTGACATGTGTACGTGGGGCTTCTTTTGGGCAGCAAAGGCGGTGTGCATCTTCAGAGTTTATTCGAAACAGTGGCCCCCGTACCGACATCTGGTTAGGCCAAGGTTTCCCCCCGGCCAGACTCCCGGAAGCTGGCACCGAGACTGGTGCCGGCAAGGACAGGAATAGAGATCAAGAACCCTGCACCCCTTGTTCCATGTCCAAGATTCCATTCCCATGGCTCAGTAGGCCTGCCCCATATTACCGCTATATATCGGACAATGGAGTTCAGAACCCAGGCAGGAGTGCGGGTCTTGTTGAAACAAACAAAGTCTCAATGGCCTTGACATGGAAAGCTACCACTGGCTTGGGCAAGCCTGGTTGTCTCTCTACCTAGACTTAGTATGGCTTGATCCGGTATCGGCGGCCGATATGTGTGCCAAGCAAGACGAGGGAATAATTGGAGAGCCAAAAGGACAAAAAAAACGTGAGAAAGGATGCGATACCACACCACCGGCGGCAGGCATCCTCCATGACAGAAACGACGCTGAAGGAAAGGAAACCACAAACGGCTACGTAGCTCCACATCCTCTGCCGACCCGGGTCAGTTGCCGCCCTGAGGGCTGCTCGGGACATGGCGAGATGGAGGCGGAGAAGAGACTCTGTTTGGAAGCGTCAGATGGACAAGGCTCGTCTTGGCTAATTATGAAGCGTAGCCATTCCCTCCAACCCCCCGCTCTGGATGAACAGATGCACAAAACGATTTCTTGATTCGTCATGACGCCCGAGATTTGCACCGGGGTGTCCTTGGGGGGAGTGTGGGGGTGGGTGGGAGTGTTGGCAGGAGAGAAAAGCGGCGAAGGGCGACGAAATGAACGATGGACCTGTGCGAGATGGGCAGCCCCACGGGGTCTCGACCGAAGCCGGCTGGCGGTGACGGACTGTATTGCAGAAGCGAGGCAACCAGGAAGACAGACAGGCAATAGCAGCACAAAAGTCGGGTTTGTGACGGTTGCAACCAAACGCGGACATTTGGATGGAATGTTGAATAAAATCAAATCGGGATTTGGATGGCGGGATTCGATTCAGCTCCAAGTGGGAAAGCCCCAGCGCCAGCCAGTCAAGACCCCTTCCCCACCCATCAGGCCACCCACTGCCGCAACCCCAAGCACGGGCTACTGAGGCACCTAATTGGGACAATGACCTCCCCCGCCATCCATTGGCTCTACAGCGCATATGCAATGCAGCAGGCAGCACGAGGGGGGGGGACAAGACGTGACCCAACACCCCGCGTGCGGAATGTTTTTTTTTTTGTCTGCGACCCGTCCATGCGGCCCAACCGGGACGGCAATCTACCCTTGATGTGTGCACAAAGCCACAGCCCTCGGATACTTTCGGCTGCCTTCCGAGACGGAGGAGAGGCCTGGATGTGGGTGGGTAGCGGGGGACAAGGTACAGTACATGCGCCTAGAGGCATGCAGACCAAACGGACACGCCGCCGCCGACCTCGACTCTGGCACATGGGAGAGGGGAAGCGGGGAGGAGGGGATATTGGGGAAGCGACGGGTAAAAGCAGCCTTGATGCAGGTGCCCAAGAGGAGGATGAGGGAGAGGAAGGGCTTCCCATGGTTCGAAGGAGCCAGGTACGGAACTCGGCCGACCTCGACTCTGGTAGAGGCCTGACCCATCGTCTAGCCCGCTTCAGGTCTGCTCTGGGAGGATTCGAGGCAAATCATGGTTGCAACCCAATGGGCAATTCGCAATTCCACCACGCCGAGGTTTCACTGGGAGCAAGCAGGAAAGAGTGGTTGGCAGAGAAGGGAGCGAGAACTGCGTGTGTGCCCTTCTCCGCACGACGGGCTGCATTGGCGACGGCTGTTTGCTCGCTCGCTTAGGCATTTTGGAGCAAGAGGTGAGTGTGGAGGCCCAACACGAACGTACAATGGGGGTGTGATGCAGGCAATTAACCACGCGGGGCCCTGCCATGGAGGCCATGACTTGATGTACCACCGCTCCTCGTCGACGTTGTGGGAAGGAGGCACCCTCGCATCCTCCAGTGAGGAAGGAGCTGGGCAAAAGCCGTTGGCAGGGAAGGCCCATGCTTTGCAGCGAACCAGCCCCACCTACGTGCCGTCGTGACATCGCGTGCGTGCAGGGATTTCGGGCCAATCAACAAAATCGACTGCCGGACAGCGCCCCCATGTTCACGTCAATCCCAGCACCAATGATGCTCTGTGTGCTCCAATACATGCCCGCCTCCTCTGCCTCCCCTGCCACCGCCACCAAACAGCTGCCACCCAAATCCTGATCGCGTCAAAATTGCACCGTTTCTTCGCTGCTGGGCCGTTATTTTACTGTTTCTTGTTTGGTGTCTGGTGGCTGGTTCGGGCTGGCGGCAAGGCAATTCTCGAACTGTATTCCTTGTCCATCAAAAAAAGGGCTCAGTCTTCCCCAATTTTGTTGCCACACCTCCTCAATGTCCTTGATGTGTCCCTTTTCGGCCGCCTGCAGCCCCAACACCACCGCAAGAGCCGCCCGAGGTGCTCCTATTTTTTTTTCTCCTCACGCGCCCAGTGCCGGTCACCTTTCCGAAGGTTGCCACTCGCCCTATTGAGCGTGCTTTGGAATCCTCTGGCCGAATTAGGCAACGCTAGCTTGCCTCCATTGCCCATCATCTGCCTTTGTTAGAGCAAAGTTGTATCAAAGACTGTTTACCAAATTAGGCCATCAATACTCACTCACCATGAGGAATTTTGCAGCTCCGCGGGACTGGGAGTTGGGCGGCCTCGACTTCACACCTACCACCCTGGATCACTATTGCTCGCCGGGTGTGACTTTGATGTCGCCAGAGTGTGGCTCCGGTGAGGTCGACAAGGCTCCGAAGCTGTTGGTACGACTCCCTCGCGGCGACCAGAAGTAGTGAGACATATCGTCTGCTGAAAACGATAGGTTTAAAGTTTCTGGTCTTGTCGAGGTTGATCTCTATATGGCTAGTGAGACTCGGCAACATATTGGAGTGAGCTAATCGCAATCAAGTAACACAACCCCAAACACCTATTTTGTGTATAAAGCGTACACGTAAAGTGCCTTTTCGCCTGGTGAGGCCAAGCCATGCACCCCCAAGGCTCGGATCAACACAACACAAGTCTACAAGTAAGCAGATCTACTGGTTCATGCCACGTGTTGCTACGTGACAGCTGGCAATGGCAGCCAGCCGCCAGAAACATCCGTACTGAGCCAAGAACCCCCGCTCTGCAAGCCTGGTTGCTCGTCAGCTCGTCTAGACACAATGCAGTTGCACCAGAGCTCGCAGCGTCTATTAAAAGACACCACGAGCGTCCTCGGCCCTCTCGGCAAGCCATCACGGTAGTTTACCTTGCTCTCAGCGTTGCATTCTCAACACCAGCTCCAACGCCGGGGCAGAAAACGCTTCGTGATAGTGGAACAGGTCGAGATGTTTGAGCATCCAAGAGTGGCCACCTAATTACCCGGAACTCCTCACCAACATGGTAGCCGAGCCGGCCAATGCGAGGGCGGATGCCCGTCCAGCCGGGCCCAAGCCTAGCGTTGGACAGATCGCGGCTGTGACGGGCGTCGACCAGGACCGGAGCTTTCTCTCTTTCGACGACAGACCGCAACCGACGATGTCACGCTGGGGTGAACCCTCGTCTCTTCAGCCGCCCCGAAAGAGGAATAATGGGAGACTGCAACCTGGGAGGGGCCCCAGACCCGTCACACACGCACGCGCACGCACACAAGCATACACACACCTCCCCAGAACAATGAGACATGTCGCAAAAACGAAATAATGAGAGAAATAAAGCCCCTTCCGTGCCCTCGACTCCCGGGACTGTGCTCCGTACCCTCCGTCCCTTCTCATCACGCCCCCCTCCCCCCGCCTGCCATGCACGACAGTCACGGTGCCGATGGACGGCGAGGCGGGTCCTGACGTCCATCGCTTGACCGGCCCCACTCGGTGTGGTTGTCTTGCCAAAGGATGAGTGATATCACCACGTTATATAAGGCAGGCATCCTACGGGGCAGCCTGGGAGGGAGGTACGAGCACCAGGCAAAAGTGGTCTTGCTACTCCAGGCAGGGCCTGGAGGGAGGGGTGTAGATACGGGCGGAGGAGCAGCACATGGCTGGTGGGAGCACACCTGGTGGCTGCTCGGCCGTAATTTGTGCACACATGGCACACGCGCACGCACACGCGCGTGGTCTGGCCTCTGGTACCGCTGCCGCCGTCAAATGCAATGCGACGGGCGGGCGGGCAGGCCAAGGCACGGGTGGGGAGGAAGAATGGCAACGGAGGAATGGGTGAGTGCGCGCGTGGCACTTTGCGTCTGCATTGCCATGTGCCCGTCTGAATCCAGGACCGGTCGGGGAAAGGGACATGTGATGTTGCCATATCCGGACTCTGTCGAGACTGATTATCTGTCCTTTTTCTCGCTTTCATCTCCCCATCATTCTCTGGCCATTGTCTCCCGTTCCTCCCTACCTGCTGCTTTCTCGGCCTTTCTCCCGAACCGGAAACATGGGGGGGCAGGCCAGCTCTCCAGACACCCCCGTATTATCCTGAACCCGGCCATTATCAGACGCCTGATATTACTTTAACTGAGCAGCCCACCCCTGCCACCGCGTACGCGATGTGGGCGCGCGCCGCAGCGCGTCGTGGCGAGGTTACAGCGCCTGTACGCACACCTGACAGTTGTCTCTTTTTTTCTCCCCATGAATGGATTTATGCATGTTTGCATGTCCGGGACAATGTGTTGTATTCATGGTTTATACGCTCGGCTTGTTGTCCGCAGCAATCGGCACCTAAATTCACACAGCTATACGTAATCGTTTTCTGCACGTATCCCCTGCATCAAGCATGAGCCTAGTCCGCGTCTACAGCTTCCGGTTTGGTCTCGTAAAGACGCAGCAGACACATTGGGCCCTGACCCAAATCGGGACGCTGATATTGGCTGTGACCAGGACAAGGCTTCCGGACACTAGCACGAAAAGAGAAGGCAAAATTGCAGATGGCATGGATTCTGATGGTCTCCATGACACGCGCCGGCGCTGTCTTGCGTTCTGACGGAAGAAGAGAGAAAGAAAAAGCCAAAAAAAGACTCCGAGAAAGGGGGCGTCTGGGGGAAGCCTGGCGTGCCTGGCACGGCACGACGCATTAGGACTTGTCTAGATTGGTCCTGGTGGCCAAAAGCGCTAGATTCGGAACCTCCCAGAAAGGGAATGGTATCGCTCGCTTGGTCCATCATCACCCCAGTCTGTCATGACCTCAGCGCGCCGCCAAAAAGGCAAAAGCCTGAGAAAAAGGGTGAAGTTACAACAGAATCAACAGCTAGCTCCGGGCCCTTGTAGAAGCCCGCTGGCGCCGTTCTTGTGTGCGTTTTTGGCGCGCACGGGCGTGTCAAGTGATGCTAACGGCAGTGGTCGGGAGGGCAAGGCCGGCCGGCCGGCCACGACCCCTGGCCCTTGCACACACACCCGACTACCGGCCCGAGGATCCCGAACGCGTGCTGCGGATCAACATCCCAGCCCCCCCCATGCTCTACTGACTGCCGACCTCAGCCGGACGCCCAGGGGCCAGCCCGCCGCGTCAGCCCGCCGAAGCGTGACTGACGGTGGGTGTCGTGTGCACGGGTGTCGCGAGGTTTTCGAGAGCAAAAATACGAGAAGGCCCATCAACACCCGTTTCGCGACACGACAAGCCTTTTGTCAGGGAGACGGCGATCCATGTACGGGAGATCTGGGCTTGATACATCGAGCGATGGGTGCTGTCGGTTTCAGACAAAAGCAGAGACACGAGCAGGAGGAATCAGGGGCAAAGGGGCCCCTATCAGTATATAGGGATAGCAGTTCGTAGGCTCCTTGATTAGCCTCCCAATCAGACGTCTTAGCGAAACTCTGATTCGGTCAGCTATATAGGATGGGCGCCGGCTCGCGGGGCTCCTCAGCCCGGACAGGCGTTTGTTTCTAGCCAAAAGTCTGATTTCCCTCAGCTCGCCCTTTTCTTCCTTTGCCTGACATATCCTTGGTCTGTCGCTCACTTTCCCTAGCGCCACAACGCACCACACTAGCCTCTAGCAGCGGGAGCCGAACGCCAGGAAAGCGACGCGACGACAAAGGCCAGCAACCCAACCCGTTTTTTCTTGCCCCATGCGGACTGGCTCAGGGCGACCTATCACAAAAGCCCCCCTCTCCACGAAAAGGCAACAAGCCGCTGGTGGGGGAGACGGGAGAGGCGCAGGTCGTGCGTCGAGTAACGGCCTCTCTCTCTCTCTCTCTCTCTCTCTCTCTCTCTCTCTCTCTCTCTCTCTCTCTCTCTCTCTCATGGCTCCACCTAACATCCGTGTTTTTTGAGACTGCTGCGACGGCCGAGGAGGGGCTCTCCTTCATCATCGCCGGCTGGCAAAAACGCCTTCTCTTTCCCTCCCCCGCTCCGCCTGCAGAGGGGGGGCCCTTGTGCCGCGAGCCCGCGCCCTATGTCTTGCCTTGTGGGATGGAGGAAGCCAGTCAGCCGGCCGGCCAGCGCACAGCCCCGTGCCAATATAGATGGTACACGGAGCCCCCCATGGGCAGGGCGGCATGATATGGGACAAAATGGCACTCCAGCCGGGGCGGCCCACACTGCCTCCCACCCCAAAAGGTACACATATCCATGAGCCTTGGGGATCCTGATTGGGACAGGCGGGCTGGATTTGCTCTGGTTTGTTGTCGGGCATGACTGGGGGGGAGGTCAACCTGGCAGTTGCCTGCCGGCCCTTCTGGTCGATGTTGGTGCTGGCACCCCTCAGAGTCCGTGGAGGGCTCTGGAGGACTGGTGCGACGCTCCATCAGCGGGATCACGTCCGAACAGCTTCCCTCCCTCTCTCCTTGAGCGTTCACATGCTGCTGCTCCTTGTCATTCCCCTTGGTGACAAGACAGTATGATGGAGACGCAGTCCCGTCAGCAATGCGCGACCTGGCGCGTGGGCTCACTAGTTCCCTCTGCACCCCCTTGCAGCCGGCAGCCCGTGGGAAGTCGCCAGCTGATCACTGAGCAGCCCGGGCAAGCAGTCCGACGCAGAGGGGAATGGGCTCGGAGGTGCGTTCTAGCTCTTTTTCTTTTTGCCCGCTGTCCCTCCCACTCCATTAGGGATCGTCGGCCGCCAGTCGTCTCCCCCACTCCCGCCCTGTCGATCCTGGCATCCCTGGCTCGCCCATGCCCATCGAAGGCTCCTAGCCGGCCAGCCCTAACTCTCCCCCGTACATCATCTCTCCCACTGTTGATCCCGCCATGGGCTTAGGCATCCCGACTTGGGTGAGAAGAAACTCATGTCATATCATGCACTAACCAATGGCAGCAGGGAGACGAATGAAGAAGCAAGGAGAACCGAGCAGATGATTTTGGAGCAGACGCTAGACAGGACTCAGAAGGCTTGGCTGCCGTAACTCGGTTTCTATGTACGACCTGCCACAAAGGGAAGTACTACCGTCGCAATTGGAACTTTGCCATTTCATCTGGACCCCCAAAAAAAAGCGAAAAAAAAGAGAAAAAAAGGAACAACAAAAAGAGTTGCAGCGACGTTACTCTGGCTAGCGCGGCCGCGGGCGGGATAGAAATTGCCAGCCACACTTGGCGTGGCCCGGTCTGTCTCTTGCTCAGTCGCTGACAAGGACGTTGGCTCATGCGTCTGTGCTGACAGGCTCCCGGGTGCTCTACTCTCCGCCTACCGAGCCTCGACTCGGCCTTCAGATGCAGTGTCGGGAGCCGATATGGGTCCCCTTTTGCCACGAGGGACAGCGCGTGCAGAGAAGGCATCGGTGATACAATCCCCTGGTCTTTACCTTTGTAAGATGGCCCACACACCCACGCCGCTAATACCGTCTTAACCGATCTCACAAACTATCCAGACGACTTATGAAATGTGACCGCCGGTACGATCTTGTGGGGAGAGAGAGACCCTCGCCTGCGAATCAAGCGTCCATGGTGTTGGACTAATACCGTGTGGCACTTTAGAGAGCATCATGGGAGAATCGAACAGAAGGAAGTAGAAGCGAAGCAAAAGGCCTTATCGAAGTACACACAGCGCCCGGGGGGAGAGGTGCAGGGGGCCCAGCAAGGCAAGAGGACAGGGGGGAGGGGGTGTGTTGGGGCACCTGTCAGTGGCAGAGGCCGCTCCTTAGTCCAACAAGAGAAGAGAGAGAGAGAAGGACGACGAAGAAGAAGAGAAAGAAGAGAGAGTGAGCAACACGAGAGGCGAACGGGCATCCTTGCAGGTTTGGACCCTCCCAGCGGGGGGAGCGGGATTGTGACCGAACTGGTCTTGCTGGGCCAATGGGCGGCGCCCAACAAGCCCAGCGCAAAGACGCGAACCGAACTTGTCAAAAGTCCGGTTCGACGACGAGGGGCCCGCTTGCTGCTTGATGCCCAGGCCCGGGAGAGAGAGAAAAGAGCGCTCTAGCACACCACGGCCGCCTGGGTCGCGTCGTAAGAGATTGCCTTTTTTTTATTTTTTTTTTTTTTTGGACGGGTGAGTCCCGGGCTACCAGTCAACATCCAATCCCC